GTCAACAGCCGCCCTATTTCAGCAGTACCCTCTGACATCCACGAACCGCAACCACTAACCCCTGCCATGCTGCTTACGATGAAGACTCGCCCCCTAGCACCCCACCCTGGTAACTTCGTGCCACAGGACCTGTATGCCCGTAACTGGTGGAGAAGGGCACAATACCTGGCCGATCAGTTCAGGGTCAGATGGAAAAGAGAGTATCTGCAGAACCTTCAGAACAGATCGAAGTGGCAGAAACGCGAACGCAACCTCTCTGTCGGTGACATAGTCCTGGTTAAGGAGGACAACACAACCAGGAACGACTGGTCGCTCGGAAGGATTTCAGAAGTAACGCAGAGCACCGATGGCAAAGTGCGGAGTGCCAAAGTGACTTCATGTAGAGCGGGAAATGTGAAGACCTACGAACGACCAATTTCCAGTTTCGTCGTTCTACTCAAACGGGAAGACGAAGTCTAATCTTGCGGACAATATAATTTGATCCCACGGACTTGATTTATATAATGTTGACGGAAGCAAGGATTTTCAATCCTTGGGCGAGGAGTGTTGTGAAATCGTATATTGCGTTACGCTCGTTTGTATTTTTGTTTAATTCGTTAATTTTTTACCAGTTTGACATATATCATTATTATCACAGTTGTCTAGCCCCGGAGTTTTTTACCAGATCTAATCGGAGAGTACAAGGAGTTTTTTACGGAGTTATTTCATTCCGTTTTTTCCTATTTTGTTGTTCCTTTCTTTAATACGCTTGGAGGAACTATAACGTAAGTTCTTTTCCATTTTTGTCTTTCATTTTAGGTTTGTTTTACGCTCGATTTCCTTTTAATTTTAGTTATATTTTCTTGCGTAACGCGTGTCTATGTATGTTTTCAGTTCTCACCATATGCTTCATTGATACTGCAATAAACGAACTTTAATCGAGTACGGAGCGTGTGGTTGATCACAGCGAACTCCACCCGTGGGAACGCGACATTGCTGCTTTTGTTTAACATATGAAGATGAAATGGAAAACATTGAAGACTGGTCATCATCTTTTGATGAGGAAAGCAAAACAGACTCATCCTCTCTGTTTGCTAGTCTCGCCTGTACCGTTTGCTCTGCTGTCTCAATAACAGAATCTACTGAAAACATAATCTCATCGAGCCCCTTGTCTAACGCCTCAAAAATTGTGTCAGTTCCTTCTAGTTCTCCATTCGTGTCATAAATCTCCTTTAGACTACTGATAATTTTTTCGATAACACATGATTCCGACTTCACTTTGTTTATACCTCTTCGTATGGTGTTCTTTTTAGGTAATTCTGTACCTGGTGGTTGATTCTCGAGTGTGACCTTAAGGTGATTTTTAGCTTTAGTCAATCTGGTCTTCGCCGATTTCTTATTATTACGCAATGTCTGTATTTTTGTACTCACTGTGCTCCCGGTTTCGACGCCCTCAATTTCTTTCTGTGAATCTTTCTGGCTTCTTTGTCCGGCGATTTTGTCTTCTAACGCTGGCGATTTTTAGCTCATGGATGACGTAGTCATGCCATGGGCTTTTGGAGGCACTCGAATGGCACTCGATCACTCACTCACTCACTCACTCACTCACTCACTCGATTCTCATTAATTTATTCATTAAAGTTAGATTAAACACTTTACTCTTACCTCCCTTACTTAGTATTACTTTTGTTCCAAGTGCCTTTTACGCATGTCTGGCGTATTCTAGAGGGTACTGGTAAAGCGTACATTTTTCCCGACACATCATAGAGATCGGGTTCGTTTTATGGAGATATTCTAAAAAACACTGACAATATTATCTGCAAGAAATGGACTTGGAATTATTAAAAGGACATTGAAATAATTGAGCGTGGATGATTGTTGTATATTTGGACGAATTGTGCACATTTGTTCCCGATACTACTTGATAAAGGGAAGATGCGATCGACAGGAGTCAATGAATGAGCCATCGCAGCCTGAGGGATTTCGTTTAGCGAAAAGCGAATAAGCCAAAGAGCCTTTATAGCTGTAAAAAAAAAAAAAAAACGGTCCATGAATTGTTAAAGCGGCATTGAGGAGTATCTATTGTGGTTTATTCACTTATTTGGACGAATCCATTCGACGATTTGTCTTCGCGTGCAATCAGGGAATGAATTAATGTTGTGTCAACTAGAAGCACAGGTTTTAGAACCAACAAGCGTTACGCTATTTTGCTTGAATTGCCTGTTACGCCAGCCTTTGACATATGATACATTTTGGCTGACATTTTACGCTGTCCGCACAACGAGGTCAAGATTTCGCAGCGATGAAGTTTAATCCGTGATGGCAATTATCAACTTTACTGATGTTGAAACGTGAAGTTGAAAGTTGGGTGCTATAACTTAATGTTAGCCGCTAAAGTTGAATGTTGGGGACTCAAGTTGATTTTTGGGAGTTTAAGTTGAATTATTAACTTTGAATGTTGAAACGTGAAGTTGAAAGTTGAGTGCTATACACCGTATTCACAAATGGCGGACACGTGGGAAAAAACTGGTGACTAGTCATGAAAGCGAGGCGTTGGAGGATAAACAAAAATTGCAAATGAAGACTTTCAGTGAACTTGCAGAGTGTTTTAGCACGGATTCCACCTAAAATAACTTTGTACTGACTTCTTTTTAAATACAATTATGTGGGATGTCTTCTGCTTTTAATGTTTAGTATTGATTGCTGTTTGCAATCAAAAGGGACGCGTATATCTTCAAGGCAACAAGATTTCTGGTTTCCGGAGCATCAGAAGCTCGATGGCTGGAGAAAAGCGGCAAACATGTTGGCCCAAACTTCACAATGAAACCGAGTACGAAAGGCAGCTCACGGGAATTCGGTAAAACAGAAATATAAACAAATCTTGGTGGCAAGAAAAAAAGAAATTAGCGACGGATATATGGCCTACTTGTTAACGCAGGAGACGTCTGCCATTGAACAAAACAGTTCAAGTCGAGCTGGAAAAAAGGAAGACAGGAGAGAAGCGGTGACTGAGGTTTCGATGAAGTTATGTTTGGTTTTTGTTTGCCAGGACGTTATTCTCTGGTCTTTATCGATAGAGGACATCAATTAGAACTATTTTTTTTAAGTATAAATGCAGGAGCGATCGAGTGGAGTACGCTCAAAATTGCAACTTGTTACTCGGCAGACTCGGTAAGCCGGCCACATCATTTCAGCGAGTAATTTTCGTATTTGTTATCTTTGACTGTTAAGAGTTTTAACTTTATGTTCCATAATATTTTAAAAGTGAGGAATACATAAATAAATAAAATGATGGTCTTCTTAAACGGAACCAGACTCGAATTTAATGATTCGAAACAGAAGCTCTTGCTGTGTTCAGTCCTGACGCAAACATTAGTTTAAAAGTTTACCCTAGAAAAAGGTGAGCTTTATACCACTTTCTTACCAAGAGCTCTCCGAGATAATGCCCTAAAGGAGACCAGGCAAATAGCAAGCCATAAGATTCACACACTACAGCTTCTAATTTTGATAAAATTATTTTATTTCGCAATGACAAAGAAATCAAAAGATTCTTACTAAGCTCTGCCAACGTACCTCTAACAATTCACTCCAAAGCGACGGAATTAATGTCATCCAAAGGAAGTTGTAAGTACAGACATACATATATACGTTCTACCCAGAATACAAGTATTTATATACATAGATATGTATAAAATGACACTGACATGAATGAATAAGCCTCGCGAATGAATCTTTCACCCGCTCTCGACTTGACCTGTTTTGTGTAATGGCGGAGGTCTCTTCCGTTGACAAATAGGCCATATATCCGTTGCGTATTTCTTTTTTTCTTGCCACCAATATCTGCTTTTACTTCTGTTTTACAGAATTTCAGTGAGCTGGCTTTTGTTTTTGGTTTCAGTATGAAGTTTGAGCCATCATGTTTGCCGCTTTTCTCCAGCCATCACCCACTTGTCGAGCTTCTGAGGCTTCGGAAACCTACAAAATCATCCTGTTTCCTTGAAGATATACGCGTCCCTTTTGATTGCAAACAGCAAATCAATACTAAACATTAAAAGCAGAAGACGTCCCACGTAATTATTTTTAAAAAGACGTCCATACAAAGCATACTTTAGGTGGAATCCGTGCTAAACACTCTGCAAGTTCACTGAAAGTCTTCATTTGCAATTTTTTTGTTTATCCTCCAACGCCTCGCTTTCATGACTAGGCACCAGTTTTTTCCCGCGTGTCCGCCATTTGTGAACACGGTGTATAACTCAATGTCAGCCGCTCAAGTTGAATGTTGAGGACTCAAGTTGATTTTTGGCGGGGATTGAACACCATACCTGCCAACAGATACTGTTCTTTACGACGGCGACTCAGGCTAATGCTTGCTTTCAAGACCGAGAGGTTGATTTGTTTTCATTATGTTAGAAAATTATCAACCATTGTTTTTTATGGCTGAGTTTTCCGAACGTGAGCGACAGAGGTCACCTCCAGTCGATTGCAATGACATCATTAACTTGTTTTATCATTGCAAGGCCATGCATTACACAAAACAAGTTTAACAAGATTGAACTCAGCTTTGTGCAGTGAATTAAGCCGTTTAAAGCGCTATATATGAACTAAATTAATTCCCTTCATAGACTATACTTAATGGATTGCCTGAGAGTAATTAGAATATTTCTACCAACTACTCACCTTTGGCTAACCGTAGTGTTGAAGAAAAAAAGCCCTCGAAAGCGTTATAACGGAATAGCGCAGACGACACTCACTAATACTTTCTGAATGCAATGGTATATAGATGATTCAAGTTGCTTTGGACACTTGGAATTGTGCACTGGGAAGCTGATATTTGGTGGTCATTGAAGGAAATCGTTGCAGAGAGTTCTGTATGCCCAAATGCCTAATGCCCAATTACCAACGCCTAAAGCACCCCTTTATTGAATCCGCTATGTATTGCAAAGCAGCTTGCACATTTTTGATTCAAACTCTTTCTTTGTGTCACCAGGTGATTTGTGTCAACACATTTTCCGTCGTTCAAGACAAGCTGGATTCTGATTGGCTGTTTTAGTGGACACTGTGGGCGTTCCTTTATTTCTCGTCTTATAACGCTCAGTGTAAATCCCGGGAACTCTACCGACATCCAAACACGCTGGAAAACGTGTACTATGAAGAGAATATATTGTGCTTTATTTATAATTGTTTTCAATCATCAAGTTTGCGCAGCGACGGACACGAAGCCCAGTAAAGGTTAGTCAAATCCTTTTCCAGATCATCATGCTACAGGTAAATGTTAAACCCAGATTTGATAGAATTCTATTTGTCCGGTTTTCCTCTTCAGGTCGCGCGCGCTATTCTATTCCTAGTGGTTTCTCCAACAACAATGGGCGCTTTGAATTTGAGATAACCGTAGTGGAACGGGTGAGTCGCAATGGAAGACGTCTTTCTCCTCATAAACATTTTATAAAATATGAGCACAGTGGTGTTAGGACAGGGACCGTGTTTTATAGGCTGGTGGCTTTTGGGCGCACCTTTCTATTTCGCCTTGACAGGGATAATAGTCATTTGTCACCTTTGCTCAACGTGGAACACGTCTACGACCGTACGCGCAGACTGTCTTTTGCTGGGGATTTGCGGCATTGCTTTTATCGTGGAGATTTACAAGGAGATCTCAATTCTACAGCCGTGTTAAATTTGTGCAATGGGCTGGTAAGTTAACATACTTCTATGTTTTATAAATTAATTATTGTTCTCTTGGTTCTGAAACTGCACGGTACAAGTTATGTTGCTTGCACGCGGTATACATCATTCAACGATTTATTTTGCTCAGTATTGCCGCGATGTAATTTCAATTCTATTTTCTCCAATTTCATGTGGTCTCGTTGTTTTGATGAAAACAATTGGTAAAATAATCATTATCAGGCGCCATAACATTGTAATTATTTACTCAAGTAACGTAGCCTGAACATTGCAACCAACGGGGTATAAATTTTACCGGAAGCGATCGGATGCGGCAAATGACCCCCTGGTAATCAATACGAAAGATTCCTCACGACTCAGGCACCACGCGAAATATCACTTCAGACTCCTCATACACTTGTCAAAGCAGCGTCAAAGTTTCCCTTCATGTTTGGCTACTGCTGGTGGCAAATCATTTAATTAGCTTATAAATCCTGAGTAGTTACTTCCTATTTGATGCCAGTAGTGGCAAACACCTTTCCAACCTGGGCCACCGGTGAAAAAGTTGGTTACGCTGTGCGCACAAGAGAGGCAACTGTAGCTTTATTTTATTGCTCTCTCGTCTGACGTTTGCATAATATTTTACCTGTGTTTTATAGCGAGGTTCCTTTGTCACAAGCGGCGAGCGTTATTTCATAGAGCCTACCAAAGAGCAGGACACTAATGCAAGTACACAATTCAGGAAATTCCATATCATATTTCGTCATCCAACGGAAAGAAACAGCCTTAGCAACGGACTCGCAACCTGTGCTTTAAAAGGTAAGCCTGTTTGTTACGTCACATTCACACCATCTTACACAAGTACGTGCGCGCCCTTTAAAAACGGCGCAAAAAATCTGCCGCAAGCTTTTGATTTTGCTGCTCTTATCCAGAAAGTCTTTCCCCTAAAACGGCGCGCGGTTATCTACATAAATTATACTGACAATGGCCTTTTTCATTCACATAGTCTGGACTCAAGCACCACCATATCAGATGGGCTCGGCTTCAGTGTAAAAGAAAAATAAATACGTTTTTAAAATAACCAAGATAACTGGCTAACTGTTTGTTGTATGGATGACATTATCAAAACAAAGATTTAAGCGCCGTTTACGATGAGTCGTTCGCTGTTTATAGTGAATGCAGGAAATCACGGTTTATTTTAGAAAAACTGTTTTGCACATCTCCCCACTGCTTGCTGGGCAAATTTTGTGGATTCGTGCATGCGCGGGACAGTGCGTGACAGGAGAGAGATGCACGTGATCTTACTTATCGTGAACCGATGGCCTTGCTCACGATCATGTGAAGTAAGTGTCGTAAAACATACACATGAAGGAGAAAATTCCCCTCCGATTCTATCATCCAATTTGCCTTATTAGTTTTGTTAGATTCTTAACCGTCTGAAACCAAGCTTAAAATTTTATCGCCCTTGTTTATATTCCGGTGTGCCACGGGGCTTTCTTTCTGTTCTTTGCGAAAGGAAGAAAAACGTTTCCAAAAACAAGATTGTTTATTGAACCCTCTTTGGTCTTTCTCATTAATTTTTAAGCCCTGACACGAAAAGATTTTATCAATCTGCCTTGAACATACGAGGTCACTGTCTAGCTCAAAGGTGACACATGCTTCAGATTTTCGAAATTCGTGTTTTCTTTTTGACCAAAATAATGTTTTTGTTCTTAAACACACGCGGGGTTTTTAATGTTGCATCTAAAATGCTGTCAACGCTTTTCTTTACCTTTTTTTCTGAGCCCAAGATTTAGGAGAAAAAGTCAAGACAACAGGCTTCCTAAGGCTATCTTTTCGCTCTTTTATAGGTACGAAAGGGAATTTCGCGCGCCTATGAATCGTTTTGTAGCTGGAATTAAATCACCATTCCCAACGTAATAGTCAATGACAAATTACTGTTTTCCTCAAAACAGACAAACTGGAAAACTGAATTTTGCCAAAATTTACCGACGCAGACGTGTTTCCATCACCACGCAATGTTTTCGAGAAAAACTGTCAGTCATTTCACAGGACAGTCAATTACGGAAACCGCGGATTCGTTACACATTTCAACAAGGTAAATTTTTTCGTGATCGATTTTAAATGACAGCGATCAAATGCCTTGATGTAAGCGATATCCTCTTTTACCAGTCTTCTTGATCTAATTGTATTACTCTCACTAGGCGACTCTTTTTTGTGTATTAGCGAAAAAGAAATCTAACAAAGAACCTTACCTCTGGCAATGCTGGAGTCACAGCACGAAAACAGTCTCGTGTGGTAGCTTTTGGTATCAAAGTTAAGTCCTCATACTTTTGCACAGGCATTTTACCAAACAAACTGTTTCACCAAAAAGAAATTTAGCTCTTACTCAGGGCTCAAACTATTCGTACGTAGAAAAAAAGTTTGAGAGAAAGTTGGGAAAGAATGCACTGGAATTTTTAATGTCACGTAACATGTCACGCAATGAAAGCCAAACTTGTGGGGTGTTACTCAAACAAAAGTGGCTAAACGTGATTCAGTTTCAGCAGATTTTTGAGGTACTATTTATTATCCTTGCGCCAAAATCTAGTGATCGCACAGCACCACTGGGCGTACAGTTATGAGGTTGTAATGTTTGGTTCTGTGGATAAAATGGAATGACGACCATGGTATTAAAGCAGTACCAGACAACGGTACTGTTTCGTTTTCTTTTATCTATTCTCTAATTAGTTATCGCCACGAGGCACGCAGCCAACGTACATTGTGTACTAACACAGTTATTCTCACTTCGACACTAGACAAGTGTCTCTATCAAGCTGTTCTATATCTTCTCACGACGCCAGAACACAAACCGATCCTTTACAAATCTCTTACTGATGTTTTCTCTCGTAATCTTGCGGTTTACAGATACTAACAAACCCCTGCCACTGCTAAGAGGCCGACACAACCATCACGCCAATAGGAGTAGAGAAGGGACAAGAAAGAGACGGTCGACCGATGAAAGTTTTGTAGAAACATTGGTTGTAGCTGACAGGACGATGGTTGACGCATTTAAAAGCAAGGCTGACTTGCAAGCTTACATTCTTACTCTCATGGGTGTGGTAAGGTCTCTTAGAAAACTTCTAAATCCTACAGGACAGAATAAAATGGAACAGCATGCCTTCATCCCCCCGAAAATCAAGCATGTAGCCTTCAAACGCGCCATGATTTTCCCATCCTTGATTTTAGGGGTGTCAGCGGGGTCTACATTTTTCCGTCCATTTTGTACAGCATTGTAGTTTTCCCTAGCAACAGAAGCAAAGTTGTCCTTAAATTTATGTTGCAAACAGCTTAGAATGAAGCACAAACACAAGTACAAACAGAAGAGGATTAATTGTTCCTTTTCTTGGGCTTGTGTCGGCGTCCCTCTTTTTACTTTGCACAAGACTCTTGTGTTTGGAATTGTGCTTGCTTCACCTTCTTGTCTCAATGGGAAAAGGCCGTCTTGTGTCGGCGCTGGTTTTCATTTGACACAACACCCTTATTTTCGGGACTTGTGCTTGTTTTATGCTTTCCATAGTAGGGAAAAACAGTGTTGGCGTTCAGTTTCCGGCGCTGGACATAAGACCCATGTACGTCTTTTAACTTGTGCTTGAGTTCTGTCTGTCTCAATAGTAAAAAAACTTGCTTAATTATGTTTAGATGGAATCCATCAGGAAATTGAATAATTTGAATTTTCAGTGGACAAAAACCTTGTACCAGAATAATTCAACAATATGGCATTCTTTTTTTTTCATTTTTCAAGGGCTATAGACATAATAAGTTATCTGTAACATAAACACCAAAGACTATTTCTCATGGGAGCCCGAGAAAATAAATGTCAAATTTCACAAGAATTTTGAAAACACAAGTAAAATTCTGAAAATTTCATGTGTAAGGTGTCATTTGTGAAAATTTGACGTTTATTTTCTCGGCCTCGATCTCATAAGAAATTTTCTTTGGTGTTATTACAGATAGCGAATTACATCTATAGCCCTTAAAAAATGTAAAAAAGAATGTGATATTGTTTAAATTATTCTGGTATAAGGTTTTTGTCCACTGAAAATTGAAATCACTCAATTCCCTGATGGATTCCGTCTTAACCCCCTGTGTTTAGCAAACCCGAGTATCCTTTATTCGAACTACTACCCAAATGGTGACCCAAAAAATCCAAAAAAGCATGTTTTACCTTGAGCATTCAGAAAAGTTCAATTGATCATAATCGTCTTGGTATGTCCGCTGGGAGATTTATGTTAATTTAAACAACAAGATCACGTCTCGGAATCAGATCAAATCCTGGCTGGTACGCCGTGCATACGGCTTCACTGATCAAGCTGTAACACACGATGGCTATCAACAGCCAGCAACCGCATATTAACGACACGTACATTTCAAACTTGCGAACCAAGAAATTCTCTGTGGCCTGTGTGTCGCTTCGTGAGGAGTTCACGTGACGACGATAGTCTCGTCCTTGAGATGTCGCACGGTGGGGTAGTAGTTTAAACGCCTGTTTTGTCCACCGAAAGCCGTCATGTCCGTCTGGGTTTTTAGCATTTAACAAGTAGAAAACCATTATGCCATTGTGTAGGCTCCTACAGCCAAAGAAGTGACGTCGGTTTCGGGAAAAAAAAATGTCATTTTCCCTCATTCCTCTTTGTTTAAAGGTATCTCAGGTGTATCGAGACAGAAGTATTGGTAATTCCATTAACATTGTCGTGGTAAAGATTGCCTTACTGGAATCTAATCAGGTAGGAACGAAATTGAAGTGGAAGAATCAGTGGATACTATTCTGCGTAAAACAGGACCTTGGTTTTTAAAAATTGGAGTGTATATATTGTCAATTTGGTAAGGGAGCATAACCGGTTGAGATTTATTATTAGCTTGCGTGTTCTCCAGACTGTTTTACGTACATTTGCTGTGCACGTGGTACATATGAGAAAAAGTTGGTGAACAATCTGTTTCCGGATTCTTTCCTTCATGCTTTTACTTATCACTGTTTTGTGAGTAGTATAGGAAATGCTGCCATCTGTCTCACCTCAAATTATTTCTGACTCACCTCGCAACGTCGAAACTAATTGTTCACTCATTTCGCAAATCTCATTCGTTTCGTTCAATTCACTCGCTATCGCTCGTTCATTTTCACTCAACTCATTCGAAATGCTCCATTCGATTCACAATTAGTTTCTCTGATTGCTCGGAGATCCAGAAATAATTTGAGGTGAGACAGATGTCAGCATTTCCTATACTACACTATAATTAACAAGTAAATAGATTAATTATGTTGAATCAGAAAATAAAAATTGATTTAAAGAAATAAAATAAATAAAATAAATAAAATAACAATGGGTTACAAATCAAAAAGTAAACAAATAAATAATAATTTTAAAATTCGAGGATTAATATTTGATAGTGAAGAAGATTATATTATATTTAAAAATATTGATAAAAATATTTATCAAACAGTTAAATCAGTTAATGATGGAATAATTGATTTAAAAGATGTTTTTAATAATGTTAAAAAAATTAATGTAAAAGAAACTTATTATGATGCAGGTGATGAGTTGGATGTAATATTTATAAATGCAACAAGTTTATTAATGTATGAAGGCACAAGATTTGAAAATGATTATAAAGTTGGTTGTTGTTTTTTCGATAAGATTAATGTAATAGAATATTGTGATAGTGATAGTGATAGTGAATAAGTAAAAAAATATTTATTTTATAACATTTTTTTGTTATAAAATTAATCTTTATTTAAAAAATAATACAAACAACTAATAAAATGTATTGTCATTGTAGAGATGAATATGATTGGTTGATGAAAATGTTAGAAAAAGGTAATTGTTTTAGTGATTATGAATATTTAAATAATTTTATTGATGATGATTTATTAAAATTACGTTATATGAAAAAAAGATTTGGTTATTTATTTTATGATAATGGTAAATATATAAAAAAAATTGATGGACGTAATTCTATTTTTGTTAATAAAGAACATCAATATGTTTGTCGTAAACCTGAAGAACCAACTTATCATGGAATTGATGAAAATGAATCACCATTTAGTAATAATTATTTTATTAATGTCACCGTACCTATGACAGATACAGAGCGTTATGAAATTAAGTATTTAGATGAAATAGATAGAGGAGATCCTTTTATTACTAGTGATGAAAAATATCAAGATAAATGTGTAAAAGAAACTAAAAATATTCTTAAAAAAATTAAATTGGTTAAACCTGAAATATATAATAGTGATGAATTTTATGAAGTTTTATATTCAAAAAAATTTGATGAAATTGAAGTTGAAAAAGATATTAAAAAAATTTATCAACAGGTAAAGAAATATGTATTAGATGAAATTGAAGTTGAAGAAATATGTATTAGATGAAATAAAAATAGATGAAAAAGTAGATAAAATAATAAGAATATGAAATATAATTAGTATAACTATTAAATAAAAAAATGGATGAAATCGAAACTACTTCTACAAAAGAGGATAAAGATTTTGTAGCTGATGATGTAAATCAAGAAAAATATGTTCTTACAGGAGCAGAATTTAAAAAATTAATCAAAAATGCTAAGAATCTTGGTGCTGAATCTCTTGAGTATTCACCTCGTAAAAATAATAAATACATGGTTAAACTTCCAGGTGGAAAGAAAGTACATTTTGGATCATCTAAATATGAAGATTATACTATTCACAAAGATAAAGAGCGAAGAGATAAATATCTATCTCGTGCTATGAAGATTAAAAATAAACAGGGTGAGTTAACTTATAATAATCCAGAATCTAGTAATTATTGGTCAGTTCATTTACTTTGGCCTAAAAAATAAAATTAATATTAATATAAAGATTAAATAAAATATTAATAAAATGCAATTGTCAAGTTATCAAAAAAATATTAAAGAAAATATTATCTTTAATAAAATCAAAGAGTACAAAGTAAAAGATAGCAATATTAAATACAAACGTATTCCAATTGAAGTAAGATATTCAAATAGTCAAAAAGGACCACTTGTAGTTGAAACTCCATTTCTTTTTAGTTTTGGTGTCAGCGAAAATAAAAATCAAAAAACAGGTAAATTGGTTGGTTATAGTATCCCAGTATGTCTTTGGAAAAAAGATAGTAAACCTAATGATAAAGAAAAAAAATTTTTTGATTTTATTAATATGTTAATAACTTTATCTAAAAAACATTTAGATAATGAATACGAACCAGATCAAATCAAATCTTTATCTTCACCATTTTATTATAAAAAAATAGAATATACAGACAAAAAAGGAAACAAAAAAACAAAAGTTGATAATTCATCATCACTAATTCTCTATACAAAACTTATTTACTCAGAAAAAACAAAAAAAATTTTATCTTTGTTCAAGGGAAAGAAAGGTTGTGATCTAAATCCTTTTAAATATATTAACAATTACTGTTGGGTTAAACTAGCATTGATATTTGAAGGAATTTTTATAAGTAATACTGTTACATCTTTACAAATAAAAGTACATGAGTGTTATATTAAAGATATAGAAGAACCAAGAAAAAGTTTAATTAAAATTAATGAAAAAGATAGTGACGATGATGATTTAGTAGTTGAAGATTTAATTTTATCGGATGAATAAAATAAATATTTTTTTAATACATTATTTGTATTAAAAATTAACCAAATCTTTAGAACTTATCCATGAGTTAAATTTATCAGGATATCCACTCCATTTTACTAATACCATTTTTTTCTTATTATCTCTTCTGATAATTTTTTCTATTCTAAATGTTTGTTGTTTTGCTTTTTGTAATTCTTGCTCGTAAAAACTTCCTTTAATCTCTTCTCCCATCATATCAACAATATTATATGTAACAGGTTTTGTTGGAAGAATTTTATTGATAACGAATATTTCTTCTGTCCAGTTTGGTGTGTAACCTTTATCAAATACTTTCCTCTTATATTTTGAGATTCTAACTTTATCACCAATAGAAAACTTTGGTTTACCAGGTTTTAAGTAAATCAAATCGCCGTACAAATTAGCCCAAACTTTACTTTCATTTTTCTTTTTACTTGCTTCAACAGGGGTGAGTTTTATACTAGAATGTCTTGCATTATTGTAATTATCGACTAGTTTATCTAACTTATCCCAGTAAACATTGTTGTTATTAACTGTAAACATCTTCCACATTCTGTTTTTCATTGTTTTATTCCATCTCTCAACAACACTAGATTTTTCCTCGTTTTCAGTGTGATACAGCTTGATACCATTTCTTTTTAGAAAATCTTTGAAATGTTTGCTTATAAACTCAGAACCTTTATCAGTCCATAACATTTGAGGTTTACGTTTACTTTTGAATATGTCATCAAATGCTTTACTAACAGTTTCAGTTTTTTTATCTTTCAAAGCTCTAATCCATCCATACTTGCTAAACACATCAATAACCATCAGCAGATATTTAATTCCTTTATTCCACTTACTAAACTTTTGCATTTCAACTAAATCAGCAGTCCAGATATCATCAATACCATTTGATATTACTGTTCTCTTTTGAAAGTTTCTTGTGATTGGTTTGTGAAGTTCGTCGGCTAATTGTTGAGACCAATCACTACTCAACGCCGCTTTACGTTTTTTGTTCCCATTCCAAGTTTTTGTTTTGTATTTATCATAGTTCTAGCTAAAGTATGACCCCATTGTCTATTTTTCCAAGGAATAGCATCCAACGATTTTACCATCTTTCTATCAGCTTTATTTTTACACTTTCGGTCATCACCACAAACACTATAATCAACATCATGTTGCATGGCTACAGCATCGGTTGGTCCGGTTGGTTGATCATAAATTTCTAATATTTCACCAGTTTCTGGATCATATCTTACTTGGTTTTCAAGATCATTATAAGGACCGGTATATTTATGTCCTGGTAAGGTCCATCCACCTTTTGGTTTTGGTAATTTACCAATCTGCTTGTGAATATCTATTCCTCTACCATCTAATTCTGGTCTATCAGTTTTATACTTTTTATTCGGTCTAACTTTTGTTGACAATTGATCCATTGCTGTTCCAACAGAATCTTGAATAAATGGGGTAAGTTTATTTATTCCATAATTTACAGCTTTCTTCTGAAGATTTTTATTTCTCATTAGTTCGCTTGCTCCATATTTACCCATTTCAACTGTTTTTTTACCCATCCAAGGAAGCCCGTAATGTACAAATCCATCAACTGCTGTACCAACAACAGTATCAAAGACGCCCGCCCCTTCAGACGGGCTTTTTAGTTTTTTGACTTTTTTTTTCCACTTCCAGTTTGAGAAGCTGTTCCCGTTTTAACATATCTAACTTTTTTATTTCACAAACTGCGCATATACAAAAGAATTGAGTTCTACCTCTTTTATCTTGTTGGTAACCACTTGGCTCTGTACAAGGAGTTACTCTTTTATCTACAATACAATAAGTTTCTTTCATTTAATATATTGTTTAGATAAAAATATGTCTATTAGATCTAATTTTATTAAAAGTGAACTTCAAAAGATATATGATAACTTAAACATGAGTTATGAATACGCTGATTTTTCTAGATTGGAAAATGATACTAAATTTATAAAAATATTTGAGTTGCTTATGGAAATAAGTGATAAGTCAAATACTCTTAAAAAAGTTGTAAAAGATAATTATCTATTTATATAATAAATGGAAACTAAATTCTTTTCCGAGATAGAAAAAAAGATTGATGTTAAAACAATTAAAGATTTTGAAAAAGAAGTTCGAACAAAAATATATAATGAGTTGGAGTTACTTAGAAATAAAAATGATAACCTTTCTAAAATACTAAGTGCTAGTGAATCTGAGATGTGGAATAAAATTAGAAATGATCAATATTCTTGGTTAAATTTAAATGATAAAAAAAGAAAAAAACTTTATAGACTTATTGATATTTACTCAAATTTTAATGATATAGTCGATAGTGTTAAAAGTTTAAATAAAAAAGTTGAAAAGGTTAAACAGCTAAAGGATACACCAGTTGATAGTGAATAAATATAATATTTAATAAATATTATATTTTTTATATTTATTTAGTAAAATATTCTTTTATAAAATCGCTATTGTCATCATCAAAATGAGGATTATGTATTACATCTAAAATACTATTACCTTTTTGTCTTTCAAACAGATAGTATAAACTCCAATAACCACAGAGAACAGTATTGCGATTTTGTATTTCATCCATTGAGTAAGTTATACGTTTTCCAGAAGTATTAAAATATTTTAATGCTTCATTTGGCATTATTAATCCAAATGGATCGAAATATTCGACTGTATTATCTATATTTCTGTAACACACCCAATGTGTTCCAGGTCCTATCATATCATCTAGATTTATTATTCCACATTCTTTTTTAATCTTTTTAGGAAGTCCATCACGACTATATATTCCTCTAAAATATTTAATACCAAGTTTTTTTATCCATTTCATTAGGTCAAAGTTTGATAGAGGTTTAATTACAAAATGGAGCCTAGAATGGGAATTGAGTTGAATGGGCTGTTTTTTCCTAATAGTAGTCCTTTTCCCCTGGATTTGGGCTTTTTTTTTTTAACTCCCATTCCAATTGGGTTTTCCCAACTACCTAAAAAAGGTGGTGAAAAGTGATAAGGATAACCCTCACCATGTGTGGATGGAGGAACGTAAACATTTGCTGTATTAGATGAGCCACGTCTATCAACCTGAAGTCCCCCTCCAAACATCTTAGATACTAAACTGATTGCCATTGGAATTCCAATAGATGCAAGAGTTCCAAGAAATCCTCCTTCTATCTGTTTACGAGTTGGTTTAATAACTACTCGTCCACCAGATTGAAACATCTTATTTATTAGATCAATTTGTGATTTTGTCAATTCTCCTCTAATAGTGGGTAATATTGGGAAAAACTTTTTTGGAATTGTAATTCCTTTTCCAAATATTTTATTTAATCCTATTTCTCCAAGTGCAGTTGCAGCACCAGTTGCTAATGCAGGAGCAACTTTTGAAATTCCTTTTACTGCGTAAGGTAATACTCTTGCTCCAATAGAAGCAAGTGAAGTAAATAAATTTCCTCCATGTTTTACAGAATGTCTAATTTGAGTTTTACTTATTTTTATATCCGATCCTGTGCCATTTGCAATAGACCTTTTTATTTTAGAAATTTGTCTGCTGGTTAACATTAACTCATCAGGACCTCGAAGATGATTATGTTTTATCCGAAGAGTTAATGGTGATTTATTTTTGATTGCAGAAGCCAGTTTTGACTTTTGTCCATCTGTAAGTTTTACTCCGTATTCAATATAAGTTGTCATTTTTATTTAATAAGTTATATTAATATTTAACTTAAGCATTATTTAGATTAAAGATTTAATAATTTGCAAACTTTTTTCAAGTTTCTTTTTATTTTCTTTATTGGATATAATATTATCAATTATACTAGATTTTGAAGGTTGTGAACTAGAGGATATTATTTTTTCTATTTTGGAAGGTTTTGGTGGTTGTTGTGTTTTAGGAGGGATTAATTCTTTTGATATATTTTTAATAGCATGTTTAAGATCGTCTTTATCAGTAATATTAACTATTTTTTCATCTTGTTTTTTAGTTCTATTTCCCCATTTAAAATCACTACGTATGGTAATGAAATAATTTTTTGGTGGGATCTCGTTTTCATCGCTATATAATTTTATATCAGATAATAATACTTCAAATTTATAATTATTTTCAATTGTCGCTCTACAAACTTTATTAAAGTGAGAACCAGAAAATACAATGGTGTGTAATTTTTTTCTATTATTTATTGCTTCTATATTTTCTTTACCCTTTGAACTTGTTAAATAAAGTAAAAAAGGAAATTTATTTGTAGTATTATATATAAATTTATAGCTAACATTTAACTTGTAAGATTTATGAATAATGTTACTTCTACAATATTTTTCAAACTTTTTTTTTTGATTAAGTGTTAAAAATGTTATTGTTGATTCATATCTATCCACTTTTTCTGTAAATAATTTTGTTAATTCCATTTTAAAAACTGGATATAATTCATCACTTTGAATTTTAAGAAATTTGTACATATTTTATTTATAGAAGTAGATATTAATATTTTTGTGTTGAGTTTTTGGTGGTTAAATTTTACTGGTGGTGTAATTATTTTAACCAATAAAATAATTACACATCATTCTACAACTTGTGGAAAAATTTTGTCTAATCATAACAACTTGTGGAAAATTTTGTGTAATTATATGTGGTGTAGCTAAGGGAGGGTTTTTATGCTCGAAGCAATAGTTTTCCATCTTGTTGTGATATTTCTGCTATTCTTTCATGTAATACTAGTGCGTAAAAATTATAATCAGCGTTTGGATTAGCAGTTAATTCGTAATGAAATGCTAGTTTTGTAACACCATCTTTAATATCCATTTTTTGCTTTGTTAGGTCAAAATAAACAAAAGGAAATAAAGTTTTAAAATTACTTCTATTGAGTAAGGTTCCACCTTGATAATCATTATTTGCATAGACGTATGACATTACATTTCTAAAAACTCTTGACATATCAGTAGATGGTTTTAAGTGAATATCTGGGTATTCATTTCCATTTGCAACTTCCAGATAACATCTTGATATATTAGCATTATTTGGCAGATCAAAAGTGTCGTATACAAATGGATTCGCGGTTTGTGAATCAATTCTTGCTGTATCAATTCCAAAAACAAATACATGCCTTGGCTTTGAAATAGCATTTGTAATTCTAAAATGTCCTGTCTGTTGTTGTGAATTATTCGATCTTTCAACTACTTCATTCAAATATACCCATTTGTAAGGTTTAAGATAATTTTCCATATAGAGCTTTTGTCCTTCTGAATTAAACGTAAGTTTTGGAATAAAAAGTTGTAGTCTTGTTATAATAACTCTACAATTATCAGCAGCTTGAAAAATTAAATTTGCATCTTTTTCAATTTCGATATTTAATTTATATTTATATTTATATTTATATTCAATTTTTGTATTAGGAAGTAGTTTATCTTCCAATGCTTCAAAGAAAGAATATCTATTAAGAGGAATTTCACAGTTTACTGTGGCTGATGCACCTAATAGTAATTTTCTTGCATGAAAACCTTTATTATAAGTTGCTTGCGCAGATCTTTCCTCTGCAGCTCTTGATGTATCGAGAAAATAAAATTCGTTTGTAGCAACACTCTCGGCATATGAAGGATTATATTCTAGTAAATTTTTAATATTTACAACATGATTTGCATAGTTACAACTATAAACTTCTCGTCCATTTGCTAGGATACTTAATTTTTCTATAAATGAATTGCTTCCATTCACTATTCCATTATGATCGTTAGCTGCAATATTTCCTCCATCTACTAGTTTATTTACTTTAAAATCCATTGATAATCGTGCATTATACCAATCAAAAGGAGTAGTTTCTCCTGTATTATCAGCAACAAATCTAAGTCCTGTTTTACTTTGGTGTGCGGCATTTGCTGGAGCAGTATCTAGAGACTGTTCCAAGTCAAATACAACATCTTCATATCTATCTAAATATTTTGGATTTCTAAATGACTTCATATTTATTTTAATAATTATATAATTTTTCTCTTACGTGTTGAACCTCCACTAAGAAGGTTATTCAACATTTGATCTATCTCTTTTTGAGTTTTTTTTTCAACATTATTATTAAAAGTAACTTTTTTAGAAGTGGATTTTTTAGGTTTAGAATCTTTGCTTAACATTTGCACTATTTTATCACCAGCCTTTTTACCTACATGATCACCAGTTTTTGTTGCAGCTGTATTTAATGCTTTTTCAACACCTTTTTTAGCAGCTGATTTGGCTGTTTTTCCAAATAAATTTTTACCAATAGATTTAAAAATATCAGTTATTCCTTCACCATAAATATGTTGTCTTGTATATTTTCCCATTTCTGGGTCAAGTTTCATTTTAAACTCTGATTTTCTACTCATTTTATTTTAATAGTTATATATTTACATAGAGTGAAGTATTAAAGTCATAAACCAATCAATACCATTAAAATTTACCGGTCTTCCAAGTGAGTCTGTTACATATATTCTCATTTCATCAATGTTAAATGATGATAGATCGCAAAATAATGGTCTTTTAGGTTCAAAAGTAAATGGAAAAGATCTTGTAAGATTATCAGTTGGCATTACAGCAATAGTATTTGTATTTATTCCATTTACAATACTATTAGTTATTGCGGTTGTATTAATATTAAGTATGTCAATCGAATTTGTTATATTTGGTAGTTTTGTTCCATACTCTGTTTTTGTAATAAGTTTTTTTTCAAATCCAATTAGGTCTCCAAATTCTGTTCCTCTTAGATCTAATTGATAATCACCTTCAATTGATATTAAAACTCGATAGGTAGATAGTATAAAAGTTAGATTTATTGAATAAATTTTATTTCCATTTGAATCTGTTGAATGATGAGATTTTTGAGCCATATATTGATGAATGTAATCATTAATATCTGAGTAGGAATACATTCCATCTGTAAAAGTAATTGTTTGCCAAGTACTTCCATCATGTGTATATTTGATTTTATTGTTTCCATAATCACTTCTAATGTTATACCAAGAATAAGTCATGGAAAGTCTATCCATAGCAAGTTGATGTTTTTTTTCAGGGTTAAGTTTCAAAGATGGATTAAACTTAATAGTAAAATCACCAGGTTTGCTTGTTCCTCTTTTTTCTCTGTTTATTGAAGAAATGTGAATAGCTCGTTCTTCCATTTTATCTATTTGTTATATAAGTTTCTATTAGTTCGTTAAGTTGTTTTTTTGTAATTACTTTCATTTGGTTGAGAAGATGTGCTATTTGAGAAAACTCTTGCAATACAACATTATTACCAGCTAGAATTGAACCACCAAGTAATTCAAGTCTTTTAAGAAGTTGATGTGGATTGTTAAAGTAAGTCATACCTTCTCCTGTCTTATATTTAAGAGATCTAAAATAATCTTTCATAGTATTTTTATATTTTAATAGTGTTCCTTTTGTCATTTTTTTAATTTCAGTTTCAGTTTCATATAATGGAGATGGATTTTTAGCTTTTTTTCTACCATTAATTTCACCAGTTAACTGTTTTATATTACCTTTTAAATCTTCTAAAGTTAGTTCTAAATCATTAAGATTAGTTTCAAAAAAATCATTCGGTCTTGGGTATCCAAAATCTCTTAATAAACTTAGATCATTACCGTCAAAGTTTTTTTCTAAATCTAACATTCTTTTAACATTATCATTTGGAGGTATCCAATTTTCATCCCATCCTTCTTCTAAATCAAATCCTTCTTCATCATATTTACCAGTCTCATATCCTGGTAATTCCCTTATATCAAATAATTGGTTAAAATTTTCAAAATTTTGAGTAAGAGCCAGTTGATTTTTTTTAAGTTGTGATAAAGTTGCGTTTTGTTGTTCATCAATACTTTTTTTAATACTATCTTGAGATTTAATAAGTGGTTTAAATGTTTCTTTAAAACCTTCTTTTATATCTTGTTTTTTCCCATTTTGTTATTTTTATTACATCTCTAACCTTTTTAGTTAAATTATCAGCTTCAATTTTATTTTTTGCAAGTTTTTTGTATTCTTCAATATTCATTTTTATCTATTGATTAAATAAAAAAATGGAAATACCAAATTATGATAGTGTCGATGATCCGGATAAAAAATATAAACAGTTATTTTCTTACATGCCATCAGACACATTTCGAATGTTAATCTGTGGAAACAGTGGAAGTGGTAAAACTAATTTACTGTATCATATGTTAATTAAACCATTGTTGTACTATGATGAAATTTATCTTTACGCGCGTAATCTTGAACAGGATAAGTATCAAAAGTTAATTCAAAAAATGACAGAGTTAAGTCATAAATTGGGTTATGAAATACTTCATGTTAACAATGATGAAATAACTCCAATTTCAGAAATGGATTATGAAGACAATCAAAAACTTGTAATATTTGATGATTATGTTTGTGATAAAAACCAAAAGTCACTTATTGATTATTTTATTCAAGGTCGTCATAAAAATTGTTCTGTAATATACCTTAGCCAATCATTTTATAAAACTCCAAAAGATATTCGATTAAATTGTTCTCACTACTGTCTTTATGAATTTCCATCATCAAGGGAAGCAAATCGTATAGCATCTGAATTAGGAGTTGATAAAGAGGTGTATAAAACAGCAACAAAAAAACCATTTACATTTTTATATGTTGATAAACCTAAAAAACGTATTGCTAAAAACTTTACTAGTAATATAACCTAATAATAAAATGGGAGTATTTAACGAACAATCTTTCGATCATCCTTTTGCTAAAGGAATACAGGGTGCACCAGGAGTTGGTTTTAGTCTAACCGCAGATGGAAATTATGATATTAATAAAAAGAAACTCACAAATGTTGGTGCACCCAGTGCTAATACTGATGCTGCTACAAAGAAGTATGTTGATGATAATTCTGGATCATCCACAACATCAGAATTAACAGTTGATTCAAACATTGATATGAAGGATAGATATCGAATTTTAAATCTTAAATCACCACTAGATGCAGATGAACCAGCAACAAAACAATACTCAGACAGCACATTTCTTGACAGAAATGGTTCACGAACAATGCTTGGTAATCTGGATATGAACAACAATCAAATATTTAATATACCAGCTCCAACAGGTCCCAAACAACCAACACCATTAGCTTTCACAGATTTTAAGTATCTCCATGTTGCTGGTACAAATAAAATGACTAATAATCTAAACATGGATAATAAAGGTATAATTAACCTTAGACCACCAACATCAGACACAGATGCAACAACAAAAAAGTATGTTGATGACTCATTTCAACCTTATTTTAAAAAAGATGGATCGGTAAAAATGACTGGAAATGTAGATATGAATAATAATAGAATATATAATATTCCAACACCAACAGGTAATAATCAACCAGTAACAAAAATCTATGGAAATTTCTAATTATGTTAATATTAGAGGTTTTACTCCTATGCTTGGAGATTTAAATATGAACAATAAAAAAATAAAAAATCTTTCAACTCCTACTAATAATAATGATGCTGCTACAAAAAAATATGTAGATGATAACACAGGTTCTCCAGACTTAAGTGATTATTTGGAAAAAGATGGATCGGTTGCTATGACTGGAAATTTAAATATGAATAGTAAAAAAATAATAAATTTACTTAATCCAACACAAGACAATGATGCGGTAAATAAAAATTACGCTGACCATCTAGTTCATCACTCAGCAATTCAACCAAGTCATTATAACGACCAATTTTCTTACCTTATGTCTAGTGCAGCACAATGGACTGATGAAACAAATGGAGGAAATAGTTTTTTAATAAATAAAATTGATACACTTACACCTTCAAATGGAAACTTTCACAATTACAATCATAAAGTTATTTATTACAGTATAAATAAAAATTTACAAGGGGGTTATAATTATAAAATGGGGATGAACTTTTACAGACTTCAAGCTAACACAGATTATACACTTTGTTTAGAATTACTTAACACTGAATATTTACTATGGCATAAGTCTCAAATATCTGTTGATAAAGGAAGTTCATCCGGTCTAACACTTGGTAATGTTAGTATAAAAAAACTATCTCATAGGTATACTGCTTCTGGAAATCAAACAAAATTTATGTATTATTACAAAATTATAATTAATTTTCGAAAGTTATCAACGGGTAATAAATTTTTTCTTTATGTTAATGTCAACATACCCCAGACAGGAATCGATCTAAACATTTACCCAAATCAGTTTAAAGGGAATTATTTAGTAGCTTATGGAATTGTGGGTACATTTAGCAATATAGACCCAGATAAAGTTTATGATTATCACACAGCATTTGATATCAAACCAACAGAAGTATCTTACAATGTTGATATAAATACAAATAATAAAAAAATATTTAACGTTAATCTTGATAGAAACAATAATAATAGTGTTGCAACAGTAGCAATGGTAAAGGAATTATATCCACATACTATAAATTATCTTTACAGGGAAATTTTTGAAGAAATTTATGATTTTACTAATGCTGCTAATTACAAAATAAGTCCTACCTCATCTGGTATTACTTTTAACAAATTATCTTCTACAAGTGGTAATAGTTTAAGAGATATGAATATAACTAATAAAACCATAGATAATATAAAAAAAGAAGGTTTAAATATTAACAATTATACCATTAGTTTTTCTCCTCCTAACAATATTACAACTTATACTTTATGTTTAATTTTTTATCATTGGAGAAATAGAAATTTTGGTCTAGCTAAAAAAGACAAAAATGGTAGAGTATTATTAAGTTTAGAATATAGAAATACAAATAATCTCATATTTTTAGATGTTCGTCTTAGTAGAAGTCAATTTGCCATGTTAAATGATTTTAATGGAAAAAAAATTGTTATATGGTTGGCAGAAAATTTTAACAGTAATATTACAAAAGCTAAAATAAGTAATTACAATTCATTATTAAGTGTACAAACAGTTCAATACACAAACGAACAAAAGTTTGAGTTTACAAATCAAGATGGAGTTTTAAGTAAGATAATGTTTTCTTCAAACTTTTACGACACCGACTCTGAAAATTATCACAAAGTATTACTTCAAGAAAAGATAAATGGAAGTTATGTATTATAAATATAAAATGAAGGATATCTTTGAATTTAAACATATTGACCCATCTTTATCAAAATCAGATGTTAAAACAATAAAAGATTTTTACAGTTATTACCATAAAAAATATTGGTGTTTTAAAAGGTCTTATAAAAGTTACAAATTTCTTGATAATTTTTTTAGTATTTCAAGTATAACTTTAGTTGCTGTAGGAACTATTACTGGTGGAATTACACTTAATCCTGTTATTATTGGAGTAATAAATGGAGCTGGAGTAATTGTTGCTGGAGTAGGAAAGAAAAATAATTACAAGAGAAAAATAGAGATGACTCGGATCGCTTTTACTACTTATGAAAAAGTTCTAGTTGAATTAAGATCTGCACTAAGAGGTGATGATTGGAATAAACAAGATTTTGTAAATAGAATGAAGTTGATAGATGATATGATAATCGATCAAACTCCTGAAGCAGATAAATTTGTTAGTAAATATGAAAAAAAGTTTAATATAAGTAAATAATAAATTTAAAAATATATAACTCATTATCTTAAGCATTTCTAAATAATTATTTATTTAGAAATTAAATATTTTTTTCAATACGATGAAAGACTCGATAATGACTACTTAATGTTTTTTTATTACAAAATGCTTTTGGACAATATTCACAAGGAATTCGCACGCCAGTCAGATACTTATGAATTTTTTTACAAATTTCGTCGTAATCATTTGAGAGTATATATGCATAATTATTTTTTTTATATTTATCTTTCATTTTTAGTTGTGATTCTGATACTTCATAATTATTTGTTGGTGATTTGAATTCTATACAGAGTCCTTGGTAATCTTTGTGGTAATCAAGAATCATTAAATCTGGAGTCCCTCGCTGATATCCTTTTTTATACGAATCTAATCTTTTTTCCTCTGTATCTTGGTTTTCTCCCATAGCTGCAACTAAAATTGTATCAGGATAATAATTTCTTATTAAATTTACAACTTTGTAGTGAAGTTCGTTTTCATTAGAAATCATAATCATCTTATTCCAAGGGTTATCAAACATTTTGTATTGTCCGTATTTTCTAATATCTGGAAGTACTTCAGATGTTATCCAACGTTTAAACTTTTTTGCTGTTTCTAATTTAGAAGATAATAATAAGGAGTAAAAACCGCTTTCATTTATGTAAAATGTTTGTTGCAAACCCCCCGCCGTTTTGGTGGACCCTTTGAATTTATCTTCCTCATCTACATGTTGTCTAATTGCTTGATTAGTATCACTATAACCTAAGATCTTAGCAACATCTTTTCCAACAAAAAAAATATTTTGTTGTTTGTTAATGTATGTGTTAATTTCTAAACCTAAACTATTATTTTTAAACTTTTTTACTAACATATTACTCATTATTAATTTATTTTTTAAACTTTAATTTAATTCATTTTTATTGTAAAGGGTAAGTCATTTTAACGGCCCCTTTATAAACTTCATTTTTATTGTAAAGGGTAAGTCATTTTAACGGCCCCTTTATAAACTTCATTTTTATTGTAAAGGGTAAGTCATTTTAACGGCCCCTTTATAAACTTCATTTTTATTTAAAACTTATATAAATAATTAATAAAATGATAAAAACTATTGTTCATTATGTTAACTTTTACTACCCTACAATCAAAAATGTAAACTTTTCGGAAGATATAATAAAAACAGCACTGGTATATCGATTCTTATACGAACATTATGTAAAAGATTATATAACACTTGAAACAATAATATATAAACTTGATTATTATCCTATTAAAACTAATAGTTCAATAATTAGAAATCATTTAATATTTCATAGAGCATTTAAATCTTTTTACAAACATTACAAAACTGGAAGAAGATGTGTATACTTATTTGATTCTCTAATAAAGAGTGAAGTTCTTGCTTATCTAACCGGTATTTTATATTGGATTTTTCATAAAGGAATAAATTAATATAATCAATAAATTAATATAATGTCATTTTTTATTATTACTGAAAGTCAACTTAAAAGAAATGCTTGAAAATTAATGAAAGATTTTTACGAAACTATACATGATGATTACATGTTAAAAAAATTTGATGAATTTAAATTACAAAGAAAATATTATGATGAAAATATTATTAAAGAATATAATAAATTTCTTAAGGGAGCAACAATATATAAAAGTAAAGATGAAGATTTAATATTATATATAAAAGATAAAATTCAAAATAAAACTATTAATGAAGAATTTGTATATAATTTTTTAGAAAAAATGGATAAAAAATTAAATTTAGATACTAGTCTTGAATTTGAATGTTATGAAGATCTTTATTGTTTAAAAAAAGCATTTATTAAGGCTTATGAATTATTTCATTACGAAGGTTATAACTTAAAAGATTAAATTTTTATATTATTACTTTAATATAAAAAATTATTTTATTATTTCTTTATAACTTTCCCACCAATTATCATAAGTCTCTAAAATTTGAGGACTAATTTTAATTTTAATATTTTTATATTTTTCACACCCCATTTCCTCCAAAATTTTTTTTATTACATAATTGATATTTATCATTCTTTTTCTACAATATTTTTTGTTTATTACCTTCATATTATTACTATCTAAAATTAATAGTTTATCGTAAAGTTTACATTTTTCTTCATCAGTAAGATTTATTAATTTAGAAATATTTTTAACCTTTTTATCAAAGTAATATTTTCTATGATAAATACTCTTTTTTTGATAATGTAATCTATCAAAATCTTTTAATTCAATATTTCCTAAAATATAACCGTTTAATACTCCACATTCATTACACATATTATAACCTAAATACGATGAAAAAGATTCTGTATTTGAACAACCTTTACATTTTAATTTTAGTGTAAATTGATTAATAGTTTTTCTGTAGTTAGATAATATATTTAAATATTTTTTTATTTCTTCCTCTCTATAGCTCATTTATTTATTTTTATCTTAATGCTAAAGTATGAATTTTATTCTTAAGTACTTTTCTTTTATCATCTTGATTACTTAGAGCTACTTTATTAACCTCTTTAGAATATATATCATGTTTTTCACTTTTTATAATTTTCATAGTTCTCATTTCTTTTTCACCTGTAAACAAACAATTAACATAAGCATCAAAATCTAATTCCTTTTTTATAACATTTTTCTTTATTCCTTTACACTTTTTTAATTCTTTTTCATCCTCAATTTTAAAACTATAAAGTTTTGGTCTCAATCTAACAAAATGTGTTATCTGTTTTCCAGCTACTTCATCCTTAAACATGCCTATTACTTTTTTATTAACTCCTGTTGTTATTCCAGAAGGATGATCTGCTGAATAATCACTTGTATCAAATTTATTTTTTACATCATCATATATATCTTTGTAAAAATCTTTTGTTTTAATTTCATACATTAAACTGTCTGTATCTGTAAACAATAACTGAGCTTTTTTTCCATATTTATTTTTTATGTAGTTATAATGAAAATCAAACATTAAAGTTTTTGATAAATCTAGAATTACTTGACCAACATATACTGGTTTATTAAAATAAACTTCAGTTTTTTTCATATGAATTGCAATAAGATTTTCATCAAATATTGTACATCTATCAAAATTTGGACGACTTGATAATTTGATAGCTTTCTTACGATTATCAACAAGATGTACATTTTGTCTTTTCCTTATATTTTCTATTGTTTTACCAAAAACTGAGTTATTCATCAATTTAAAAAAGTCTTTTTCAAAACTGTTGGTTGCTGCCTTTCTAAGTTCAGTATTTTTTCTAATATATGGTTCCATCCAAGTAGATTGATAGAATGATATTCCTCTATGTACAGAAGTAATTTTCATACCCAACTCAAGACATTGTCTAAGAGTTCGATAATGTATAACATAATTTTTTCTGGTTTTGAAATGACATATTAGTTTTTCAACACCATTAACTTTCATTAACTCAGGTGCTAAAGGATAGTCATTATGTTCATCCCATAAGTGTTCAGGATATTCTAAATCAACTTCAAATATATAACCCTTCTTACCAGTATTTGACATGCTAAAATTTATTTTATCTAAAATTTCATTTACCTTTTCCACTGTTATATCTTTCATCCATTTAAATCCATGAGTTGGAAGATTTTGACTCATAGCCCATCCATAAAGATTGTTTGCATCTAAATATTGAATAAACTTTGATTTCTTTTTTGAATCGTAACTTTTCATATATTTATTATTTGCTTCTGAATATCTTTTTGAAATATGTGTAATCCCACCCCGAATACCACGTTCAAACATCATTAACATATCATAATCACTTAATAAATCTAGATTTTGTCCTGTTATTTTTAAACATGCATCCCAAGCCAGACCTGGAGATGTGTAGTAATGAGCTGGATCTAGCTTGTAATGTTTAAGACAAGTTGATCTAAATTTTTCAAATACATCTGCCAAAAGCATAACATCAGATTTTAAATAAAGATCGTGATAGTCTTTTAATGTTTTACATCCAAATGCATTCCACACTTTTATTGCATGTTGATAATCTTCATCTGTAATATCTTCATCATTAAGTTTTGAATAAAATTCTTCTTTTGGTGGTAATTGTGTTTCTAATAATTTATCAAGTGATGAAACGTAATCATAAGGATAAACTCCTTTTCTAGTTAATAGTGATATATTTTTCTTAAATTCACTTTTGGTATTATGAAAATCATCTAATGACAAATTTGATACAAGATTACCAAGTGATGATTGAAGAAACTTATATGAATCTAAAAATCTTATTTCAAAAGTTATTGGGATAATATCACCATTTATATGTTTATATTCTCCAACTTTGATATGTTTAGAAAATGAAATATAACTTTCTTCAGTAGATGGAATACAATCTAATTTTCCATCTAATTTAATAACGTCTTTAATAATAACGTCTTTATTAAAAGCATCCGATAAAATTACATATCTGATGTTACATTAAAAATATATATCGATAGAAAAAATTACAATGGCAAGATGAATAAAAAAGATTAAATTGATTAAAAATACATATGGGATATTTACACAGCTAGATTATATTTAAAAATTAATCTATTAAAAAAGCTATCTTTGAAACGTTCAGTGTTAATGCTGGGCCTGACAACGGATATCCTTCGAAGGTTTACAATACAGTCTTTGTACCTTGGGAGCAAGCTTTTTAGTGGATGGTCATCGCGTTTGAGGTTATAAAAAAGGCGTCTGTCGCTTTTCTCCAAAAGTTCATATATGTTGTAATTGACCGACGTATAACGCCTCTTATAACATCTTTTTAAAAACCTTTGTATAACGGTAAGTTCGGAAACACTCGCAGCATAAACTGAAAGACCGTATAATAACTTAGGGATCACAATTGAATTAAAGAGGTGGTCTATTTCATCTTGTGTATATCCTTCTTTGCGTAGGCTTCTGATGACAAATAAACACTTGTTGGCTTCATGGAGCTTGGCCTTGACATGCAAGCCAAACTTACTATTACCTTGAATTGTGACGCCTAATAAAGAAATGTTATTATATTGTTTGATATTGTGAGACATTGGGTAGACTGTTGAATTGCCTCTCTTACGCATAATTAGCTCCTTACATTTACTAGTGTTACAATGCATGTCATTTGCAACAGTCCAATCCATAAACTTGGACAAGGCAATATCAGATATATCCGGGGAATCTTTAGTAATCGTGACTAAGACGGTTGAATCGTCTGCATATTTAAACAAGGATATATCTTTGTATCCATCTATCTCTAGGTCATTCAAAAAAATATGTTGAAAAGATATGGGCCACTGACACTTCCCTGTGTTGTTCCCTTGTTAACAATTTTCCACTGGCATGTCAAATTATTAAAAATCACCCTTTGTTTTCTACCTTCGAGAAAGTTGGCATACCAGTTAACAATGAATGAATCAAGTGGACTATGTTTCAGCTTTTCAACTAGAAGATTGTGTTTAACGTTATCAAAGGCTTTAGAGAAATCCATCGTAAACATTCTGACCGCCACGGTGTCCCGTTTATCCAGTGCCGCAAGAAATGTATGTTGCATTTTCAACAGAGCGTTTACACAACTTCCACCTGAGCGGTAAGCAAATTGGGAATTATTCAGATATTCCTCCAGGCACCTCTTGTTAAAAATGTTATACACTATTCTTTCAAACGTTCTGGCAATAACTGGAGTAACGTTGATTCCTCTAAAGTCCGCATAATCGACTGGTGTTAGCAAGTTGTTTAATAAATAGATGTGCATCATAACCCTGAAGATTATGAAATATAACTGGTAATATTCTGGGTTTTTTACACATAAGATTACATTTGTTATGCGCGGCTCCACGATACTCACCTGTAAAATGACAATGATCTCTAACTCTATCTTTATTTAATTTATATCCGCAAATATAACAATTAACTGCGTTATTAAATTCTTCTTGTGTTTTTGGTGTCATTACTAATTTTTTTGGTTTGCAATAAAAATCTTCATATATTCCTTTTGTTAAATCGGTAAGTTTTTCTACAAATATTTTTGCTACATCTTCATCCTCAGAAGATTTGGTATAAATAATTGGTTTAATTTTTTTACCAGCAATTCCTTTTGCATAAAAACAAAATCCTGATGGTTCGTGTTTTTGATAATTGTAATTATAAGAATCTTCAGGATTAGGACAGCAACTACTCATTGTTTTAGTAATACATTCAAAATCTGCATAGACAGTAAAAGGAATAGGAAGTTGTTTATAATAATTTTTAAAATGTAAATTCGATCCTGATTTTGGCATTTTTACAAATGATGTATTATTACTATAACAATATTGAATATGTTTATCTAATAGTTCCGGTTTTGTAAAATGAGAAAAACATCTCTTACAAATTTGTATTGGTTCATCTGTTCTTGTAGTAATTTGACTACGTATAAGTCTTGAAAAATTTTTAATTAGTGAATAATGAGTTTTACCATCTTCTTCATACAAAAATAAATCAATAGTTTTTTTACAATCTTTCTTTACTTCCCTCAAAGGATAGATAGTATTACCATCATTTGAAAAAACATTTATTCCTGGAATATCTGGATTAAGATTCTCAAATTTGGTAATATCTTTTAATTTCATTGGAAAAGTAATTCCTTTAGTGTTAAGTGAAAATTCATATTTTTTTAAATCTGACAATCGACTATCATTTTTTTCTCTTGGATGAAGATATCGAAGTACTGACCAAAGAAAACATTTATCATCTTTATTTCGAATATTAACAATTGCTTTTTTTCTCATAATCCAATCTGGAAGAGGAATATAAGAAGAACCTCTCATTGGTTTAAATTCATTTGTATGAATTTCTAACTGGTAAATTTCTTTAAAATACCAATCACTACCATTATTTTGGTATATAGTTATACCTTCTAAAATTTTTGATTTGCTTTCACTAATTATATTTTTTACATTAGTTGAAACTAAATTAGTATATGTATCAGAATGAAAATATGAATGATCTTGAATTTCAATTGTTTTATTACTATCTTTTTCTTGTTTTTCCATAATAACCTCTAAAACAAATCTTACTTTAGTATTTCTATGATTTTTAAGAAATTCATTAATAATAGGTTTTTTATCCATAAAAAACTGATTAGGTAAAACACGTGGAGAACCCTTAATAATATATTTTTGAGCAAATCCATTTAAAGATGATTTCTCAATTTCAATTCCTTGTTCATATTCTCTTATAGCTCTTTCAAGAGCTTTTCGTAAATAAGAAGGAGTATCTTTTGGAATTTTTCTATTTCTTATACATTCCTCAAAATAATCTTCAAATGTTTTAATCTTTTTTGTAACAACTTTGGATTTAATCTTTTTTGTAACAACTTTGGATTTAATCTTTTTTGGTTTAACTTTACCTTGTTTAATTTTATTTCCAATTTCTCTCACTTTATTTATTTTTTCAATAACTTTCATCTTTTCTTCCATTTCCTTATAATCTTTCTTAACTTTTTGTCTATCTTGCGAAAGAATTTTTTTTAATTCATCCAAAGACAAATTCATAAGTTGTTTATTTGTAGATGGTTGAGCCATGACTTTTATTATTTATTTATTTTATTTCTTTAAATCAATTTTTATTTTCTGATTCAACATAATTAATCTATTTACTTGTTAATTATAGTGTAGTATAGGAAATGCTGACATCTGTCTCACCTCAAATTATTTCTGGATCTCCGAGCAATCAGAGAAACTAATTGTGAATCGAATGGAGCATTTCGAATGAGTTGAGTGAAAATGAACGAGCGATAGCGAGTGAATTGAACGAAACGAATGAGATTTGCGAAATGAGTGAACAATTAGTTTCGACGTTGCGAGGTGAGTCAGAAATAATTTGAGGTGAGACAGATGGCAGCATTTCCTATACTACTTTTGTGAAGGCTGTATCAGAATTCTAACGGTAGGAAATTTCACCCAAATAAGAAAACGTGAAAAAAAAAAAAAAAATGCTCAAAACATTAAATAAAGAAGGTATAAAACGGATTGCAATTGTGGGTTTTGAAAAACGTTTTTTATATAGCCTGACAGTTTTTCAGTTTTTCTTTTTCGTAACGTTTAATATAATGCTTAGAAGGTATATTTGTTGGACAAGAAGCTGTAATTTTATCATCGATTACAAGTAATTTCACCGCTAACCTGAAGTCCCATAGCACACAAGGAAGCATGATGGCGATGTTGACAATATTAACCGTGACACAGAGCCCCTGATACTTTAAGGACAAATTACTGTTACTGATGTAGACTACGAGTAGTCTCCATTTTTCCTCAGGGATAGCAGAGCGAGCGAAACGCGAGCGGGCGTGAAAAAATTTTCTCCCTCACCGCCGCGTCTCGCCTTTCTAGCGTGGAATGATTTTCACGCGTGCTCGCGTTTCGCTCGCTCGACTAACCCTTAGGAAAAATGGGGACTGCTCTTAGTCTATTACTGATGATGCTGTTGGGGGCTTTACACCTGTCCCAAAAGGACTTGGCGAGCTCAGAATAACCTTTCTTAAGATTTACACCTCTTCTTCTCCTTGTTTTTATTTATTTATTTTTTTTACAGAGGGGCCTCCATATCTCCTCAGACACCGTTCGCACTCTTAAAAGCTTTTGCCGTTGGCAGAATCGGGTGATGACTAAACCACAGAAGGACCCAGAACACCACGATACCGCGATTCTTCTAACAAGGTGAGATTCACCCCAGTTGAGCGCCCTTAATTGAGTTTTGAGATAACGAAAGATTCTGTGAAACATATAAGGCATAAAGGCGCCATGTCACCATTATCAAATGCAAATAAAAAGAACGAAATGATTAAAATTATAGGAAGATTAAAAGACTAAAATATTACGGAGCTACATGTTAACCAGTCAGCAACGCAACGTGCCAGTAATATAACCTCTTGGAGATTTTACCTATTATTCACCCAAATATTTACTTGTTTCTGTTTGCCTTTAAGTTCCCAGGCTAATTTTTCACAACAAGCAAGCGCTGACCAAATTTGGAAGATGCTTGATATTATTCCACGATTGATGTCAGTGATGGAGTCATTAAAATTATTTAGCCTGTGTACCCCCCCCCCCCGCTCCCTCAAACAAAATCTAGGAAGGGAGGGGGCGGCGCGGCTGCACACAGGCTGAAAATATTGTACGTACGCTTGGTTTTCATTTACAGGCAGGCACACGACTGGAGGTCTTGGAAATAGGGTTAGGGTTCGAGTTACAAGACCTTTGTTCCTGTAAACCGTGCAAGTTAAACCCTCAGTTGTACGCGATAACGCCTCTGTTTTGGCAATGCATACACACGAAAGATGTCAGCTGCTTTGAAGAATGTCTTCAAGAAAAAAAATTTTACACCCTGGAACTGCCAAGTAACAGGCAAACGCTAATTCGACAAACATGAATGTTATAAACTAGGAAATTCTTTGAATGAGTAATAAACCGATTATATCTATCAAGAGTAACCAAGCGTAGGTTCACGTTGGCCAGGGCTAAAATCGCAAGACCATATATGACATCTTTACTTTGATGAATCGTTCTTTTGCGCTTAAAGTTATTTTTCTTTTTCGCAGGAGAAATTTATGCAGACGCCCTGGAAAGTGTGACGCCTTAGGTAAACGTATTGTTATATTGTGAACAGCTACACGAATACTTCCAGTGTGGACTAGAACAGCATTTTCTTATTTAGTATCACCCACTTAAAATAAAGATATCGGGCGGTGGGTCTAATAATTGTCTTAAACTGCGGCCTGATTTTCTAGATTTCGACAAGCCCATGTGAACGTCATGACTGTTTTCTAACACTAGTCTTTTTTATTTTTTTAGGTCTTTCGGAGATTGGAACAATGTGCTCCCCAGGGCGAAGCTGTGCTTTAGCAGAAGACAGCGGACTGGGGACAGCGTACACTATTGCACATGAGTTAGGGCACGTGTAAGTACCTTATATGAAGTATCTGGAACATGTGTGAGTACAGATGCCGTATGAAGTGGAATGTGTTGCTGTCTATCACATTGTCTGCGTTGAATAGCTCCGAGCCTTTTTGTGTTAAGTGACCGAGTTTTCCATTTAGTTGTCGTTTAATATATTGTCATATCTACCAGGAAAAAAAAATAAGAAGTTTCATGCTAGTTTCATTCTTAACAATTTCTGTGGACTTTCTTCTTTTTCAAATTGATGGTTTTCACAGTTACGTCATCAGATTGCAAAGTCAAAAAAGCGAGGTTTTACTAATTCTTATTTACACTAGGTTGAAGATAAATAGAAAATAAATTTTGTACAAATTTAAGCCCCAAAGCGCGTTTCATTTCGAAAATACAGCTATTTGAACTTCTCAGTTTTCACAGAGCGTGACACCAAAATAGGAATGCCGTCTCATTGAAAAAAGTCTCTTGATTTTCAGCAGTTTAACCATTTCAAGTTATGTGTATTAAAATGTGTGTTTATGCGCACGTATGCTAGCTCTCGAGTGAAAAGGCAGACTTTTTATAGAAAAAGTGAACTCCAGATGTTTTTGTTGATTTCCGGCGGCCATATTGGTGGACTGTTTCTGTCCACTAATATGGCGTCTCCATCCAAAGCTCAGAAACTGTGGGCCACAAAGACCTGAGATTTGGACAAATTGTTTACATATCAGTCTTTTATAACATTTCATTTTCTTGGCCTTTTCCACTGGACGGTTGGTTTCCAATTCATTTTTTTGCGCTGTGTTTATTGAGTTACAGTGAAAACGAAGAACACTCATTTGAAATAGGTCAACTTGAATGTGACCTTTGCCATAGACGTTGTTCTAGATGGATTCTAAATAGGAGGTTCCTTGATATTTTCCCTTTTTTATGTTAAAGTTATTCAGTTGCATTTCTTCGGTTCTGTCGGTAGCCTGAGAAAACAGCCGGCATTTGGTGGCGTCGCGAAATGTCGCCTGTTTTCTGGGGCTATTCTGTCGGTCTTTTCGTTTGTTTCCGTGTTTAAAAAGCAGAATATCTTATTTCCCCGCAGTTTTAGCCTCCCTCATGATGGCGATAACAACCAGTGCACTCGGAGTAGAGGAGACCAGCGCCTCATGGCTCCGTCCCTCAGTTTCGATACAAAGCCTTGGTCTTGGTCCAACTGCAGTCGAGATAAAATCACCCAGTTCTTGGAGTAAGTTAAAGAGAACCTTTTCTTTAGACTACGATATTTATATTAATATCATAGGTGACGAATTACTCCTTAATTTTGGCGCGAAATTTCAGCGTTAATTTGTAATTTCACATGTGAAATTACAAAATTGCCATGGAAACCTTCCGCACGTCTCAGTGTCAAGATGGCGACGAAGTTTTAAAATGTCATGAATGAAGATGTCAGGGTACAAAAAGACGCTTTAGAAACCTGAACACACGAAAGAGCACATCAAGAAGGATTCTAACAGGTATTTTGTCGAAAAACTCTGAACCTAAGCCAAATTTAAGCTCTAAACGTTCGAGAGAGTGCAGGAGCTCTCGATCGATACGATCCAGGATAAACTTGTCAAAAATCCAAGATTGCTAACGCAATTCGTCACCCATGACATTAATAGGTAATCAAATGGTATACTCGTGAAATTAGGGAATAATTTCACTCGCGTTTTGTCCAAATCCTAATAATTTCCCTCGCCTAAAGGCTGGTGAAATTATACAGATTTGGATAAAACGCGCGTGAAATTATTCCGTAATTCCACTCGTCACCATTTGATTACATATACAAATCTAATGAATGATTTTCCACCAATCGGATTCTCATGTTTTGCGCACAGGATTATGGGATTGCCAGGGGGCAAACATTGCGAGTCGCTACAAAGAATTGTATGGCGTGGAGTTGTTTCTCCGTTAAAAGCAGTGTCTTTGGGCATAGAATGCCGCATTTTGCCGTGATTTTATGTGAAACGGAGGTGACTAATGTTGGTGCGTTGAAATTTTAAGTTTCTGTGTGATTAATGCGATAAATTCTATCGATAAACACTCCTTGCGTGAGGTTGAGTGTGAAATTTATGTTTACTGAATTTACATAGTGATCTACATGAAGAAAAGGACTCGAAATATAAAGTGCAAATTTAGGTATACATGTAGGGGGATTGGCTCATTTAAGCTTTTTAGTTTTTAGTGTGGTGATATTTACAACGAGTGCAACTACGCTCGGCCCGCTCATTTATACCTCGTAAGTTAGTACTATATTTCGAGACCATTCAGTAAATTTCACAGTCGACCTTTCGCAAGGAGTGTTTATCGATAGATTTCATCGCATTGATCCCACAAAAACTTACAATCAACGCACCAACATTAGTCGCCTCCGCTTCTCACAAAAACACGGCAAAATGCGGCATTCTCTGTCCAAAGACACTGCTTTTAAGCGGAGAAACAGCTCCACGCCATGCATTTCTTTGTAGCGACTTGCAATGTTTGCCCCCTGGCGATCCCATAATCCTGTGCGCATAACTAAGTCTCCGATTACCGGAAAATTACCATCACAAGCAACAAACCTTGAAACACAGAAACGCGCAAAACGGATCCAAATCTACCAATCACAAATCACAAACCATGACCTTTTGAACCCGTTAAAGTAAAGTTTTGTTTCCTAGGAGGTCCGTTAAGATGATTGACGGCAGCGAAAAACGCAATCGTCAGTTGGCTTTTGAACTTCAGAATTCGCATGTTTGTGAAAAGCGCAGTAAGGTCCAACGACGCGACGGCAACAAGAACGTCGCTTAAAAAGTGAATTTGCGTTCTTCCAATCTTTATAGCGTTTATTCGATCCTACCCACTTACTTTTCAATTGTAGGCGAACCCTCCTAAAGCTGAATTTCAAGGGACCATATTTAAGCTCAGAAACAGAAATAAAATTTCGTCTTTGCTTGTTTACCTTCTCCATAAAACACGAAATTAGGCATTTTCACGTCGTAGTCGTGCAAAAACGGGAAAGAAATGTACAAAAAAGTGTACGTGATGCACGTGCAAAGTTGTTGTTTTGCTTAGGCCCCATCCACACGTATCCGGATTTTTGTATCCGCAAATCTTTTTATGCGGATACACCTAGCGTCCACACGTGTCCGCCGTATACGCTCGATGTATCCGGAGATTTCTGTATACGCTCTCCAGAGTGGAAATTTCTGCATACGCTGTGATCCGGATACGTGTGGACGCTCGTATCCGTATATTTTTGTATATGCTGACGTCACAGTATCAGAACCAGTCTTTTTCCGCGCGAGATTTGACTAATCCTTTGAGATGTCCGGATGCGAATCAGATACGTGTGGACGGTCGTATACGATTCGTATACACTACATGTGGACGCAGATATTTTTGTATTCGCATAAAAAAATTTGCGGATACAAAAATCTCCGGATACGTGTGGACGGGGCCTTATTGCCTATTGTTTTTATGACCTTCTCGTTGCCGTCCGCGTCGTTGGATCCTAAAGTCCCTATTAACAGCAAACAACAGGCACGCATTTTCCATGACCCTAAGAACCCTTGATAATTTAGTCCACTCATGGTTAGTCTAATTCTTCATATTTTTATTTTTTTTAAAAATTGAGTTATTTTAATTGTCGCATATTTTTGCCGTTTGCTAAGGTTAGGTTATGGTTCGTGCCTTGAGGACAAACCACTCGAAAAAGCAGAACTGAAATATCACGATACACTTCCTGGTGAACTCTACAGTGTGGACCAACAGTGCAAAATGGTTTTTGGCGAGAACTCATCCCTTTGTCCTTTTATGGTTAGTACTTCACGCAAGGCACCATTAGTTATATTCTCCCGTAGCATCCAGTCTGTACTCTGTATACTTCTGGTGCCAATGGGACTAATATGTCAAAAAATCTATATAATCTAATTTTCATCGATCCTTCAATCTCCTGGTCTTTTTGTTTGATTCAGTATTCGTAACTAAGTAATGTGTAAGGGTAGATTTAATGGCTACTCTTAGGGTATGATTACTGATTATTCGTCCTGTATTGTTCCTCTTTTTCCCTTTCCCCCTTGGTTTCGACCCTACGGCAAATCATTTCTCTATCTTTAACATTAAAAAAATGGTTGGTGTCCTGTCACTCAAGAAAATCTCAGGAACGCAAACATATCTATGGGCAACAGAAAAGCCCTTCAAAAATAAAAACTAACAGTATAAAAAGAGGCTTTGGTCTATATCATCTAGATACTTTAATTGAGAGTAGTTATTCTCAGTTCAAGTTGATTTCTCTTTTTTGCCTTGAAGGAACCTTGTCAGCGACTTTGGTGCGTAAAAATGATCAACAACCGAAGGGGATGCTCCACCCACCATATGCCTTGGGCAGACGGAACCCCTTGTGCGAAGAAGAGTGTAAGAATAAATTACTCTTAAGTTTACTCACTTCCTCAAGGCACCCGTGCACGGTGGCATTTGTTCCAGTTGCCACACAAACATAATGCATTACCTTGATCCATATGTGTCATATTCTTAATTTTTGCCTGTTGGTGGAATTCTATTAATAGCTTGTGATCATGTGGTCCTTCTTCCCCTCTTCCATTGGCCCGTTTGCCGACTTTCGCCCCACCTCAGAAAACAATAAAGAAGAAGAACGACTGATCGTAGGTTACCATTCAAATAGCCTGCACAATCCTTTGGTATAGTCATTTTGCTGTACAAGTAGGTTCTAATTTTTCAAGTCCGTGGATATGATCGTTTTAGAAGAAACGTTTTCATTGCAATGCTGTGTATAAAATACTAACCTAAACGTTTGAGCATGGCTCTTCCAGTACGTCAAATGATTTTTGCTAACAGTGATTGATGTCGATATGAGAACTTTAATAAGATTAGTAATAGAGATGCCCTCTACACCAGCATGACATGGCAAACGGTTGACTTGATAAATGTAAAGATTAACTTAAGCCGATAGACACTTGAATTATTCGAATGTCACTAATTCAGGGAATAGAAAATTCTTTGTGTGAGTAGTAGCGCTTCAGCAAACTTAACCTCGTTGGTGCGTTCCCTTTGCGTTCCGTGTGCGTTCCCTTAATTAATAGGCATAAGGGTCTATGACGTCACCCATTGTTTTATCCTAGAGAAAAAAAATGCGTTCCTCCATATTAATTAAGTGCCTAGTCAGTGTCTTCCTGTATACTAATTCGGTATAGGTTTACTAATGAGCGTCTCTCTACTTCAATAGAAACAATAGGCTTGCCTGGACTTGCCGGTTAAGTAACTTGAGCCCGGTTTTCGGACCGTCTATTAAAAGGAAAATAGGAATAAGAGAAGCGATCACCTAGCAACGCGAGAAACGGCTTCAATGTTTTACTTACCCCTCTCCCTTTTCAATTATATTTCTCTCCTCAATTTTCTTATCTCCTTCGCCACAATTTTATTATTTTCCCTCCTCAATGTTTTTTATTCCCCTCCGCCACCTCCACTTCCACCTCCTCATTTCTATCAGTGCAGTGGTGGTGGTGGCGGTGGTGGTGGTGGAGAGAAAACAATAGAAATGAGGAGGTGGAAGTGGAGGTGGAGGTGGGGAATAAAAAACATTGAGGAGAGAAAATAATAAAATTGTGGAGAAGGGAATTAAAAAAAATTGAGGAGAGAAATATAATTGAAAAGGGAGAGGGGTAAGTAAAACATTGTGCGCAATGTAAAAAGAAAAAAGGGTGGCTTGCTTTCTTTGACTGTTTTAATAGATTTCTTTCAAATCACTGTGTATTTGACTCTTTTTGTTTTAAACGGTATCTCGTGTCTGATTTTATTGCTAGCAATTGTGAGTCGCGTGTTTTAATTGATCCTTGTTAAGTTTGCTGAAGCCCTACTTTTCATACTTGTATGAACGGCAAAGTTGCAACAAGTCGCAATTACGATTTATCACGTGCACTTGCAAACCTCAAGAACCTCGCATTTTAAACAGTAGTAATTCGAAGGTCCTCAAAGTTTTAAGGGCTCAGTATAAAACAGAGCGTACCATGCTTCCCAAGTAGGAGTTATTAACCTTTTCATTTCCAATGGAACTTCCTAAAGACAATTTCAAGATAGACGTCAATTGCTTGTACATTTTGCGTAATATGGAAAATGATTTGCACTGTGAAAAAGTATTACTCAAGAAGTTTCATTAATTAAAAATGAAACATATCCATGCATCAATCCACGCATCAAAGGTAAGAGTTAGCCGGAAACATGTCTTTTTAATTGACCCTGGATACGGGGTGATGCTCAGTTGAAAACTTAAAAAAATAGCTTATGCATGGATCATGTCAAGGTTTTCATTCGATACTTCCAGATCACGAACCAGTTTACACGTCGGTGTTACATTAATAAACCGCTTGAACTTCTTCAAAAAGTCTTTCAGGACTAACGATCCTGTTTAAACACTCTTAAAAACCACTATCTGTTCTGTTAAGTACTTGGCCAAGTTGTTTTCCGATTTTGCAAGTGCTCAGAAAACAGAAATTACTGAGTTGCTACTGTTTTCGATCTGTCATCCCCGGGTTCTTGATTCATCTAGTGTTTCCAAATATTTCTTATAAAGGTTCTCTTGCTACCGTTGCAGGGGTGACCGTTTCTTTAAATTTCACTTATCAACATGCTGGAATTTACTAATCAAAAGTTTCAGGAAGATTTTCATTATTTTTTCGGTTCCTATTATACCCCTTTGCCCATTGAGAAGATCTGATAAACAGGCAAAATGGCATTGTCGGGTGCTTGAAAGAATACCATTAACGCAAGATTAAGCTGAAGATTGTCGGAGAAGCTTCTTTAGATGTCTTGCTATGTTCTGCAATTACTTTAGCTTTTCGTCTACTACATTCCCTCTCTATGAGTCCTTATTAACGCTTTCACTCTCAGAGTAGATGATGCGCTCCTGCAAGGTGGCTCGGACTTGCAGTCTGTTGATCAAAAATTGGTGTAACCATTCAAATGAAACCTCTTTCAATTGGTAGTATTTTCACAAGGGACTATTTGATTTGCAGAATTTTTCAAAATGAAATTTAGAACTTTTGTTGAATTTTTACTTGGCAGTGAAACGGTGAAGATTCAACAGTGAACGATCGCCTGTGAGCCTGTCATCACCAAACATTTATGAAAATCTGAACAACTTCCCATTATGTTGTTTTTCGAGTTTTACGCGGCCATTTTAACAAGATTAAAGTTCCGAAACATATCGTTGTTGAATGACTCTTTCCAACGTTCCATCAGTTTGTTGATCTTTAACATAGCAGAACATATAATTTCCTGTCTTTTCTTTTAGAATGCATATTGCGTACTTGACTACTTGACCCCCTCAATAACAATCACGCGAGCGAAATTTTCCAGTTTAAGTAATTAAAACATAAAAATAGCTTTCTGTCCGAGCAATGAGGGAATACTTAAATTGTTTCTAAATGTTACTTGTGATATTTTAATTGACACCTTGAAGGCCATGATACGTTTTTGTATTTCTTTCTTTTATTGTCCTTGTTTTCTATACCACGAAGACCACGGCCTCTGATTAGCAATTAAAAAACAGTTTGTGCAATTTAATTGATCAATTTGTTTACAATCTTAAGAGATTCACTTCCCGAATAGGTCAAATTGAGTAATGACTAACAAGTGTTTTCCTTTTGGATTAAAATGGATAAGAAGAACGTGTAAACACCTGGAAAACTTCCCTTTTGTAGGAACGAATATCTCAGCAAAGTGACGTAATCAAATTAGAAGGACGATGTAAACAATTTATGTCATTTTCCGATAATTCCTTATTTGGTTCGCCCTACAAATTTCGGTAAAAGCCACAGAAGGGATCAGTAAATCAAAATGTAGTTTTGTGCAGCAAAGACAATTCTCCTAACCCCGTAAACTAAAGATAAACATTGATATAAACTCTACTTATGTATCTTCCGTAATATGACTAAATTCGCTTTGTTGGCTTCTCTCCATGTTCGGGGTATTCAATAGGCCCTTTGCAGCTAGCCATTTACGTGGTACAAAACCGCCATGCTGGAGAGCAAAAGTGTCACTGGGATAAGACAAACATAGAAAATTACCATTTAAAATTATGTATGCTTTTTGTTTGTCTTGTGCCAGTGCGACTTTTGCTCTCCAGCATGGCGGCTTTGTACCACGTGAATGGCTAGCTGCAAAGGGCCTATTAAAGTGGACTGCGTGCTAATTACCTTTTTAAGTTTCTATTTGCTAACAATTGCATAACAGTTGCTAACGTGATATGTGCGGTAAAAAAAGCCTCAAATAGTCTCGTTCCGGAGTAGAATTTCGTCCAGAGACTCAAGTCTCAATACATATGACCTTTGCATTCAAATGAAACCTTTGCAACCATGTTAGTATTTGAAGTTCAGTATTCTACAAAATGGAACTGGAGATTTTACTTGAATTCTAGGCAAAGCACAGTGATGTTTAGTTAAATGATTTCAAGGGGATTCTCTTTTGCGTACTAAACCAACGGGCTTATAGAGCTGGCTTCGAGTATCTTGCTCATCATCATCATCATCATCATCATCATCATCATCATCATCATCATCATCATCATCATCATCACCATCATCATTACATTCACTACTCCTAGTATCATAATTGTTGCTGACTCCCTGTGCAATAAACAACGTTCCTTAGGTACAAGTCCTTTTAAAACGACCAGAGATGTTACTCATTGAAGGATCTGCTTCAGGTTTATGTTTTGTAGTCAATTCCTTCACTACTAGCTAACGATGCCCAGTTAAACTCAGCCTGTAAAAATTATCACAAAACACTTCTTCCATTTTGTTTATAAGTTTTTTCATTTTCTAGTGGTGCATTCGAGGTCAATGTGTGAAGAAGCAAAGGCCGAAACCTGTGGACGGTAACTGGGGTGTGTGGGGTCCCTATCAAGAATGTACAAGGAGTTGTGGCGGAGGAATAGCTTTTTCATACAGGGAATGCAACAAACCATTGTAAGTTTAATGTTAGGTTTATTGTCGATTGAAGATCGCCCTGTCCCTTAACGCTTTAATTTCAAGTAACCACCAAAGAAAACTTTCACAAAATTGTTAATTTAGTTTTGTTAAAGTATAAAAATAAATAGCACTATGCAACAGTTTTGCCAAAGAGGTTTCGTTTGAATGGAAAATTGTAATACCATAGGATTTCATTCACACTCTCAAAAATTAGGACTATAAACTAAATACTAAATAGTACCATGTGAAAGTAACGCCAAAGAGGTTTAATTTGAATGGTAACACCATAGGATTTCATCCACAGATTTAAAACTTAGAAGTACGTACTACATACATAGTACCATGTCAAAGTACTGCTGAAGAGGTTTCATTTAAATAGCCACACCATAGGATCTCATCCACAGACTCAACAGCTAGTGAGACAAGAGCCGTATTAATTCGATTAAACGCCGTGATGTTAATTAAATTTCTCTTTGCCCTTTTTTAAGATCTCTCCTTAAAACTCTCTTATAGGGACACTCAGTAAGGGTAATTTACTTTTATTCTCAATTTTGCGGAATCTTCTGTAAGTGGTCCCAGAGGATGTTTACTCGTAATCCTTTGAATTTACAGGACTGAAAATGGTGGGAAATATTGCACTGGTAAAAGGAAACGGTTCAAGTCCTGCAACACCCAAGTAAGTATTTCAATATAGTTTTAAAAACAACAGGCCGAGATGGATTGACCTGGTCAGGAATTAAAATGAGCGCTCAATTAATTTAAATAACGTCTTCAAAATTCATAAGATACGAGAAACACGGGGCGAAAAAAAAGTTATTTGCACAAATTTGCTCCCTGAAATATGTCGCAACTATATAAATAGTGCGGAGTAAATATATGGCAAACATGGTAAATATAAATGCCAAATTTGCCTAGTTATTTTCACCACCTGTTTTTTGGTCTGCAAATGTTTCATTTACCATCTTTGCCATATATTTACTCCTCAGTATTTACAAATCTGCGACATATATGCAAGGAGCAGCAAATTCGTGTAAATCCATTTTTTTTCGTCCAGTGAAAGATGCTTACTCAGCAAGAATGTTTCTTTGCAGGACTGTTTGTCACATGAACCTAGCTCTAGTTTCTTCAGCTCCTAAGAGTCTCGGGGGGGCGGTCATCCAGACCCTTAGATAAGAGGGGGGAGGGGGGAGGCGGTCTCGGAAAAATTTTTTTTCGGACCTTCGGGCCTCAGTTTGGTCCAAAAATAAGGAAGGGCCAGCCAACCCCCCCCCCGGCCCCCTCCCTTGGATCCGTCACTAAGTCTCCTGTAGCTTGATGGTAGAGCATCTGGCCTACTGACCAGGAGGTCATAGGTTCGACTCCTGTTTGGAGTTGTCGGATTTTTACTTCCCTTCCGCCTGTGTCATAGCCTACAAGCAAGCTGTCCGGGGCGCTCTGGCGGTCGATGCGAAATTGTTGGCTGATTGGTGGAGATGACAGTAATGACGTTACCCTTGGCGCGTGCTTTCACGTGTTTTTCAATGTTTGTTTACATTCGCGCTTGTTTCCGCTTCGCGCTGATTGGCGGAAATCTGACAGCTCAGTCGACGGCGCGGAAAGCCACAGGGGAATTGGAGGCGGAATTGAAATTCCAGAGACGTAGTTGCGAGCTCTGCTTTCTTTTCCCGCCCCGCCGCCAGAGCGCCCCGGAGAGCTGGCTCGCAGGCTACCTGTGTCACTGTCTGTATGAACATCTTTCTCATGTATTCATCAGGCTTAAAATTCACCATCACATTTTTATCATTCGACTAAAATGTGTGGCCGTTTGGCTTACGGCTCACCCCGTTAAGAAGCTGGTTTACAGTCATGTCTTTATTGATTGTTTTGCATTTGTAACTTTGTCAGGAATGCCCCAAAGGTTCTGTGGACTTCCGTGCCATACAGTGTGCAAATATACATGCACGGAGCGTGAGTTTAGGTTCCAAGAGGTACAGGAACACGAACTGGCTTCCTAAGTACGCTGGAAGTAAGAGCTTGATAACTAAATCAATCCTAAAAAACACAATCATTAAGATAATATAAAGGTAACTTAAAATAATTGGGGAGTGAAGTGAAATCTGATGAAAGGTGACTGAGTTTTTATCTCGGATTTTCTCCGAATAAAATCATCGTACACCCTGCAAGGATTTCTAAAAACATCTTTTTGGGAATCAGTTTATTCAACGCATAGCTTGTGTTTTGTCTAGCTTAAAGACAGTAGGCTACGCGTCATGATTGAAAATTTAGAAAACAACTCTTTCATCTATAGAAGCAATTCACATAGCGACTGTAATGGATTGTTTTTGGGATGTGACTGGCCTGCAGACGCTCGTCAATGCCAAAAGGTTCGAATCTGTGGGTTTGCCAAAATTATCACTCACAGTTTCCAGCAAAAATGTAAGAAAGAAGAAAAAGACACCGTCAAGCACGAAACAGATGGTTCACAGACATGAAGATCGGAAAGTTAATTTGAAAACTCGGTTAAAAAGCCGACCGAAAAATGAATTAAAACTAAGATCGCTCAGAGCCTCTTACCGAAAACGTATTTTAAAATTACCAAAAACAGGAACTCATATACGAGAATCTGATATTTGACTCAATCCGAGGTATAAATTGTAGGTCACCAAACTCGTTATTAAGTTACAGAAACTTCAAAAAATGAATAAGTTTTTTTTCCGACAATTTTTACAGTTACTATAGTGATGTCATAGTCTTAACAAAATTACCAATAACTGAGCATTATTTTTTACCTTATTTTTTTTCGTGAAGCTAGGGAATTGAACTACCATTTCTTGTCTCTGTATAGTTACCAAGCAAAACCAGTGTAAACTTTATTGTCGCATTTCTGGAACTGGCCTCTATTTCAAGTTAAAAGACAAAGTAATTGACGGAACACCGTGTAGCCCCGAGACCACGGACATTTGCGTCGATGGAAAATGTATGGTAGGTGTGGATTTTCATACTTTCTTGTTGTAAAACACGGCCACGTGACAGTCAAATGTGACTCTGGAAAGATTGACTTACAATAAAATGAGCCGTGGCTGAAAAATGTCGGCCAATTCGCAACGTTTAAATCTTCTCCAGTTTGGCTGATCACCGCCCCCTCTTTTGTATTTTTGAGTGATTGTGTATGCTTTACTATAGTTCAAAGATATTCTGATGTACTTAATTGTGTGATCAGCTGGAAAGAGCTAAAATTGTGTCAACCGAAAAACTGAGCCCATTTTAAAACGTTATGGTGCACCATACAAGACGGTTTTGCTGTCACCTTCGTTATAGGTTTCTTGTTATGGATGTAATTTTATATCTATTCATTTCTTTAATATTCAGCCTGCGGGATGTGACAGAGTGCTAAACTCAAATAAGAAAACTGATAAATGTGGAGTGTGTGACGGTGACAATTCATCCTGCAGACGTTTCTCAGGAACTTTCAACGAAACAATGTTTGGTGAGGCTTGGCCACTTTTGTGATCTGTTAAGTGTTTAATGTATTCCGTCTCTAATACGCCTCTAAAACGTGTATTATTCAACTTCCACTGTAGTTAGGAGAGAGCAATAATTGGTGACACTGTTTTAACGTCCCCTACTATTGAAGGAACGACCACTTCCATGTAGCCATGGAGCCACGCGAAGGTCGAACTAGCCTTACGCAGAGCAAAGGAAGAATTTTCTTCCTCAGTAGTTACTGTATTTTTATGACCCATATACTCCGTAGACCAGCGCACCCGGTCAGTTGTGCTTAACCTGCAGAGGTAAACCTGTATGCTAGGCGCTCGACTTGAAAAGGGAAGGGACATGTCTTGTCTGGTTGGTTTTCCATCTTTTCTCTTTTTTTTTCTAGTGCCTGCTGCGCGGGCCAAAGCAATGAGTGTGGAAATGATTTGTCATAGTGCACATCATAGCGCATACGCCTACGTCATTACTAAGATCGCGCAAATCATGGGTCATTTTATAGAAACAGAGTGATCTGTTTCCAAAGACGGAAACTGTGCTTACAGGAGCACTAGTCACGGACATATGATTTGCCCAATCTTTGTAATAAATTGATATAAAAACTGAATTGCGCTTCTTTCCTGGGACTGCGGTGCCTGTCCCGACTGTTTCTCACACACCCCTATCGCTAAGCTCTCTCTCGCTTCGCTCGTTTCTCCCAAAAAGACCCCAGCATTCATGAGGACATTTGCTTCATCCATACAGTGACCACTTTGGGGAAAATACTAAAAACTGGCATTTAATATAATACATATATACCCAAAAAGCGGAGAAAATGGTAAAACTAATTTCAGAGTTATTGCATAGAGTGAATAATAGTATAATGCAGGGTCTAATAAATTATAAAAATGATTTGCTCGCACTTGAGGATATTTTGAAAGAACTTGATAAAGAGCTAAAATAAGTTTTATATATTCGGGTTCACAATAGAACCCAAATAATATTACAAAAGTGCGGTGCTAACACGTCGTTGGACGGTGTCGCTTTAGCGACCTGTTCAAAAGACTGGTTTATAGCCCAAAAATTAGGCAATACGCTCAATGCTAATAATTTTACCCAGGCATTCATCACAAAAGAAAAGCCCGCAGGTCTCACATACAATCAGTTATCTTAGTTTTCTATCCTCTGGATTATTTTCAACTGCGTTTTATAAGTGTCATTTGAGAGTAACGCTTTTTCACAGTATTTACGAGGGACTCTAATACCTTTCATGTATGTGTTCAAACATTTGGTTATAAGATCATAATCATTGCTGATCATAAAGTAATAGTAATTAGTTTTGAATTTCTTTTTCATCTCCTTTTGGGCCTCAGAAATTTGGTAATTATAATAAATAATAATAATAATAGTTGGGCTTTTAAATTCAACGCAAAATCTGGAATAATCTTATGATAATTCATGATCATAATGTCAGGCTGACCTTTCATGTAACACTTTTTCTAGTAGTTAATTCTTTTGGAACAAGTGTTCTGTAATTCGCCAAGCCCGCCTACAATAACCTCAGGATACAACCTGCGGATATATTCAACTACTTTGCAGTGTAGATCGGTGTCATTTTCAATCTTAAAGGGAACCTCCACTCTTACTACAGAATAAGTTTAAATCGAATAAAATTATGTGGATAAACAAATTTGTTCGAAATTTGTCCTTAAAAAAAGTGTTTATATCAGGAAAAGTGAATTTTAAAATCGCTTATTTTCACTTTCAAATTTCGCGGGTGCCGCCATCTTGAATAATTGTGACGTGTTATGGTTGCTCTATTGTTCTGACACAAAGAGCTTTTGTTTAATAACAATAGGGTAACCGTAACACTTCACAATTATTCAAGATGGCGACGCCCGCAAAATTTGAAAACAAAAATAGGCGAATCTAAAAGTTATTTCTTTCGGATACAAACGCTTTCTTTAAAAATATTTTAGATTGACTTGACTGTAACAGTTATTTCCTGTGATTTAAAGTTATCTTTTTGTTGAAGTGGAGGTTCCCTTTAAAGATCAGGTTATTAGGATTGTCGAATAATTTGTATTGTCCATATTTCCTAATTGATGGGAGTACTTGTGCGAAGACCCAATCCTGGAATTTTTTAGCGGCTTCTAATTTTGAAGCAAATACACGGGAGTAAACACCAGGTTCTGATATAAAAAATTGGTGTCTGACCTGACCGCCCATATTGGTCGGGTAGCTTTTCTTGTATTTTTCATCCACGTGTTGTCGGATAGCTTTATCGGTATTGACATAACCAGGGATCTGGGCAATGTCTTTACCTCGGAACTAAATACTTTGCCTGCCATCTATATAATTCATCACTGACATATATTTTTTCCAACATCATTCTCATTATAATGGTATATATTAATATCTCTTCAAATATGTTTGGTTCCAACAGCCAGATATTACTCTTTTTCCTCCTCCTCGCCAACTTCAAAGATAACTCCTAGGACGCCTGTTAATGACATCTCTCCTGTTTCCAGCGTTTTGGAGATCAATTTTTTTATGACGTAATGTGGCAATCTCTTCTAGTTTTTGGATTTTAGTGAATAGTTTATTGAGTTCAGTTTCCTTATTACGGATTCTGATATTTAACTTTCTTATATGATCGTCCTTTTGTACTATTATTTATATAAATCTTGTAAACTGCTCAGTGGAATCCAGGAATTGAAGTCGTCGCTATAACCCAACCATTTCACAAGAGCTTGTTTCTTCTTATAATTATTTTCCCTGAATGACTTTATCAATGCGGAACATATCTTGGGTTGCCTTTAGTAATTCCGGTTTATAAAAGCTCTCTTGTAGTTCCTCGTTGTTGAGATCATTTAATCTGTAGGTGACTGGATTTGTGGATAAATTTTATCGACCACGAATATCTCTTCAGTCCAATTAGGTGTGTAGCCTTTGTCAAACACCTTTCTTTTGTAATTACTTATCCTGACTTTATCACCAACCTTGAATTTGGGCTTAGATGACAATTGCTCCATATTGCCATATAGATTGAAATACACGGCACTTTGATTCTTCTTTGTACTGGCTTGTGCAGGTGCCATTTTAATGGAACTGTGCTTAGTGTTATTATACTGCTTCAGTATTTTTGGTGGTATGTCTAAATATGCTGTATTACCATGGACAGTGAATTGTTTCCACATCTTGGTTTTGATTGTACGGTTCCATCTTTCGCAAACACTAGATTTCTCCTCATTCTCGGTTGAGTATAGTGCTATGTTATCTTTTTTCAACAGTTCCTTCAGGTATTTGTTATAATATTCTTTCCCTTTTGAATGCTTTTGTGACAGTTTCTCCTTTTTTATCCTTCAACGGGACAATCCAACCATATTTGGAGAACAGGTCTAATACCATGAGAAAATATCTGTAACCTTTGTTCCATTTGTTGAATTGTTGCATTTCAACCAGATCGGAGCACTAAATCTTATCGACGGATACCGTTTA